TCAGTGCATAGTGGTAGAGTGTTCTTTTTTTTCGTTGTTAACCAAGAAATTTTTGGAAGTTGTAGAGCAGAAGTCTCTCGATTTTTTGTTGGTTGGTGTCTCTTTGATTTTATTTTTGATCGAGTATGGTATATATTCACGACATGATTGTCACTGTTAAGGTGTTATTAAGGCTTTTGGTATATGAATCTTTGTTTTACTGGGTTAAGTTGTGTTTATGAGAAATCTCGCTTTTGCATTTTACGCGTTCTCAGAGGACGTTTGTATTCAGTGCATAGTGGTAACTTCTGAGCTTAACGTACTAACGTAAATGGTTGCCCCTTTTCCCGTCTAAACGGCTCGTGGGGGCTCTCGCCTTTTTCAAGTCACTCAACGTGGAGTTTATCTGAACTTTAGTTTCAATTTTGTTATCTGATAACCAAACAGTTTTTTTGTTCAATATTGACCCAGACCTCATGAAATGTTTCGGTCTGAAAATAGCCATACTGTGTCGAACACAATGGCATTTTTAGTGGTGGTCTCGGGAAATTTAAGACCAGACAATAATAGTGTTATCCATTGCTTAACCAGTGAACAGCAGCAAGCTAAGTTTTCTAATTTTTGAGGTTCTTGTTTGAATATCTTGTAGACGAAGTTTGAATGTAGTATCAGTCTTATATCAGAAACCGGGTGACTTTAAATGTTTGCTTGTTGAGAATAAAGAAACATAGTAACCAACAGTGGTTTCTCGGCGTCAAACCATCCTCGGAGACCCAGGGGCTGTCAGTCGGGTCGGGATAAACGGCGGCGAAGGGGATATTACTCTAAACAAACCAGCTCCACGACTTATTCGAATGCCTGTCTAGATCTCTGATTGGGCAGAAAAAAAATGTTTTTGTGCCCAATCGGAGGCCAGCATCTATCGTGCTGCATTCGTGATATTCTTTAACTGCAAACTCGACTGTTCGCTGTGGATCGCCGTACCTGTCTGGATCGTGCAGCGGAGCTTTCTTCGAGAAGATTTTCCAGTGAAAATGGGGCCCCAAAGCCGAAGATACCCATAATCGAAACGAACGGTACGATTTCTGTTCAACCCCAACATTTCTTATGCAAACATGTTTCGACTTTATTCATATTAACTAGTAGTGAGAAAAAGTAGGAAATTGTTGCATGCATAATAAATGTTGGGGTTGTATGGAAACTAAATAAAGCAAAAATGCACAAGACTTTAGACTGATCGAAGGTTAATTCGTAAACACCAGGGTTCCTCTAGCCTTGGTCACACAACTCTGCATACTTGCGTCCTCAGGGCGCTTTTCCCTGGCCAAAGCCAGGGAAAAATGCCCTGGGGACGAGGTTGTTTCCCGCCCCACCTCCAAAGCCAGGGAAAAGCGCCCTGAGGAAGAGGTTGAACTCTGCAAGTTTACTCGACCAGTTTCGTTCGATCCTCTCGAAAGAGCGAAGAATTTTCTCCTGCACATGCCTGACAAAAATGCCGAGCAGGCGTAAACAGGCACGCAATTTCGCGCGCAATTGCTATTTTTTTGTAGTGAAATCTGCCAGGTTAATAACTACAAATGGCGGGCTTTGTACTTATTAATCGTAAAGAGCGGTACTTTGTAGTTATTAATCGTAAAGGACGTCATTTACGATTAATGTCAAACATATATAGTTAATAATCGTGAAAACCACGAATAATAACTACGTTTGACAGGCTTCGTAGCTAATAATCGTGAAATTTACGTCTATTAACTATGTTTGGCAGGCTTCGTAGCTATTAATCGTAAGGTTGTCAATTTCTCCTGTAAAGCTAACTCAAAAGCTAACGGCGGCCATTACAGAAAAGAAAACAAACTCAAAGTCTTTTTTTCAAGGTCGCTGTTTTCACAAAAATACATCGCAGAAAACTTTTCGAGAGGTCAAAGTTTCCATTCAGCTTCTTTTTTGATCGATTTTTTGTCTAAGGGCCTGTTTACACGGAGTGGGGGACCCCGGTCTAATGGGGTTGGTTTGTTTTGTTTTCACGCTCTGGAGGACACAAAACAAAAGAAACCTACCCCACTAGACCGCCCCCCCACTCCATGTAAACATGCTCTAAGAAAGCTAGTTTCTTTCGCTCTGTTTTTGCGATAAGCTAACATCGCGAGCAGGCGGCCTCGGTGAGTTTGCTGTGCACGAAATTATGATAATTGATATAAAAAGTGAAATGTTAATCCACATTTTTCAACTGTTTGATGGGGAACTAGCTCTTCAGTCCGCTATGCAGAAGACTCAGAAACTCAGTCCATAAACTCTTTCTTCCAAGTTGTTGTACTGTATTTTCTTCTAGTTCTAGCGCTGCGTTTTCATGGGCACACCGCCGAGTTCACAGTTTTTGGCGCGAACTGCCACTCAAATTCAGTTCACGAATTTCGAGGGAGCAGCTGCGCTAAGTTGGTACGTCATTTCAAGGAAACCTATTCCCGATATATATTTCCCTTACTCGAACTCGACTGTTTTCCAAAAACACAACGCCAGAGACTTAGGAAAAATTATAATGATCAGTTTGGTCGTAAAAACTTTCTTACAAGTTCAGTAGAAGTAACTTGAAATAAGGTTTACATTTTTCCTTAGTTTACAATATTTGCTTCAAGCAGTAAACAAATTAAAATATGGAAAGAGGCGATCTTTCCTCAGAGTAAGACAGCTGACCGGGTCACTATACCAATACGTATATTACAATCTCAACGAACAAACCCCAGGATATCATATTTTTGATTAAACAACTTCACGAACTAACACTCTCTAATCAAACAGGACAGACTCAAAAATGGGTTTCTTTCCAAAAGAAGATGTCGACGAGACTTTTTCAATATAACATCAGTGGCTAAAGTGTAAGCGACTTTGTTTACACAAGGAGGGAAAGAGCTGAATATTCTATAGACATATTTTAGCCACAAAAATTAAGTTCTTAATCCGCAACCGTCCGGTTACGGGAACACAAAAAGTCTCGCAATACTTCCTTCGTTAAAATTATCCCCGAGAAATACACTTTAAATGAATACTAAAATACTATTAGGATCTTTCCTATTAAAAATACTAGTTATTGACTTAGCACCTTTTAAGCTAGTACAATTTCGGAAATGAACACACCTTATCGATAATATTTTGAATTAGCATTTCAACGTTCCAAATTGTCTTTTTTAATACTATTACATATTATGTTTCTTTTAAATTATTTGTTTCATTATCCTTGAAAATTCCCAAAAAGGGAGAGGATAATTAAAGTATTATTATTTATTATTATATTTTTGTTTTTCCAGTAAGGACTCGTTATGGCACAAATAGTGACTGCTGAGCCAGGAACAACTGTGGTTGTCCAGCAAACACAAGTCCTGAGGGATTGGAATTCTGGCCTGTTCTCCTGCTTTGATGATATGGGCAGCTGTAAGTTTTACTTGTGGAACCAACAGGGAACCCAACGACGGTTCTTCTAAATGCAGTGAAAACACTTTTTAGCCTATGCAGAGAACTTTTGCATCTCTAGAAGTGCATTCTAAGCGGCGCTATAAAATTTGTACCTGTTCGGTCATCCTAGGGCAACTGAGTCTTTTCGAATTTACAAGGGCTTCGCTATTATTTTCCCGAAATTGAAATTTTAGATGGAATTTAAAGTTTTACGAAAGAAGAAATTTTTCTTATTCCACTCTCCATCACATTTTTGAATCCCAAAATGTTAGGTTTCCCTTTTCTACGAGAAATAGCTCGTTAATCATGGGGAGTAGTGTAAGGGGCCCCTTAGAGTACCAACCAATCAGAGCGCAGCAAAAATTTTCTCGACCAATCAGAATCGCGCATTTCACCCATGTGACTTATTGACGTCACAATTGCCCATATATGGGCATGATTTGACACGTGACCCCATGGAATCAAGAACACTCGCACATAAGAGTTGAATCTGCATTTTTCACATAGTTTTAATGACCGCGTAGAGCCTGGATACAAGCGGGACGTAGGTGACCTCCAAATGAGATCACGCCCATTTTTTCTTTTACTGATTGAAATGTCCATACACAAAATAAAGATAAGGAGAATGCTTTTTGGCAGAGGTGGTCATGAGATTGGGATGAGGCCATGGAATATAATGGTTGAACCCTAATGGAGACCATGGTTTGATCAAATGAAAATAGCAATGATCAAAGGTATCTGAAACGAATCAGAAAAAGCACACGAAAATTAGATCCACACATGGTTTTTTAATAGACGAGTCGCGAATATGCCTGGTTACAAGCGGGACGTGTGTGACGCCCTGGTGACGTCACGCCCTGGATATTAACGAGTGAACAAAATAAAGGGTGTTTGCCTCTTGGAAGAAAAAGTCATGAGTGCTGGATGAGGCCATTTGATATAATGGTTGTAACCTGTGTATGACCATGGTTTGATTAAAGGAAAATTGAGTGCAGCCAAGGTGTCTGAAAAAACGAATTAGAAGGAGGGGTGGTTAGATCCAAGAAGCAAACTGAATGAGATATAGTCGACCATTGGCACGCACGAGGCGGTGGTTTATGGTCCAATGATTGACTAGAAAAAGAAAAAACAGACCTTCATTACAAACGGGACGTGTGTGACGCCCTAGTGGTGTCACGCCCTTGAAATGTTTGTTTACAATAATATTCTATTAAAATCCAGTCTTGATTATAATCAAAATGGTCTAGGATCCAATGACATTCTAATAAAAAATCAACGTCTTAGTTTGAGCATCTAGGAACCAATGACATACTAATGAAAAAAATCAAAGTTTGAGTTTGAACAAATGGAGTAAGCTGGACCAACCATGATGATTGACAATACAGAGTTTGTGAGGGAGGGGCCAGCTTCGGAAAATCATGATATCTTGTATAATCCAATGGGAATCTAATGGAAATAAATAAAGACTGAACATCCAGCAGGGGTGGCGCCACCATGCAGACCTCCCCCTGCCGGGTGTTCAGAATTCCCATCCTGTACTTTCTAAAATATGACATCCCCAACAGGGTTCATGGAGGGTGTTCACATGACGTGAATACGTCCAACAGCGTTTACACACAAAATACAACTGTTTCATCAGATAAGCGTGGTAATATCTGGCGTGATTCTCTATTATCTGGGCAGTGGCTGAAAAAGGCAAGGGATATAAATGGTTCGTATGACAAAACGAGTATCTGAAAAAACAAACAAACATGGGGTTCAAAAACGGGGTGGATAGCCCATGTCTTGCAACATCTCACACCAATAACAGGGAAAGGCTAAATCGTGTACGCGACGAAAATTCAAAAAACAACGACAACATAGTAATTTGAGTGGATTCGGATATGGAAGGGCGACCCCTGTTCCAGTGTACCATTGCACGATACTACCACAAAAACACCAGGCCGCGGAGGTGCCATGAACCCTGTGGGTGCTGAGAATGGCATGCGAATCTACGAAAAAATCAATAATAATACTCTGTTTTTATGAGTAAGAAAGCAATGCGATCGTGGAACCAGCAGCTGTTGTAGATGTGGGTATGCGTTTCTAAAAAGCAATATTATTACAGAATTGCATGAAATGTTGAACACAATGAATATGGCATCGGTGTTGCAAGGGAAGGATCCACCCCCATTCTTCAATGACCTCGATTACATCTGAAATATTTCATGAAGTTGGATTACACATTTGACCGTGCTATAATGACATCTTAATTGAATGGGACGTATCCAATCTCCATATTCTTTCAACGTAAAATGAAAGCCTACAAAGAGGTGGAAAGTGGACGAATCAGGATGCGAAAAAAAGGAGAGTTTAAAGAGGACACTCTCGGAATCCATTGCAAATGATGACGTAACAGGCAATGTGTGCCTGTGAAAAAATTAACTAAAATTAATCCTCTAAAAACCCAAGAGCAGCCAAATCCGGTTCACCGACGTCACCCTGCCTCCGGAGAAACGAATTAATGCGAAAGGTCATTCGCAAGGGAAATTCGTCCCATTCTCGTTGGTTAGGGTCCCCATCCTGTACATATTGCACAATTTCATCTTCGGTGAGGGACCCCTCCCGGTTACCGGAAATAATATCATCTAAACGTAAACCATCCATCATACGCTCACAATGGTTGCATACTCCGCCATGGGTGGGATGGGCGAGCCATTGGTAAATGTGACACACAGGCTGATTCTCTATGTACTCCCAAGAATCTAACGAACAAAAAATCAACACGAACAGTTTGGAACCCAGAACCGCGCGGCCCAATTGAGTCTGGCACGTTGAGGGCAAAGACATAGGTGGATAGGCCACAGCACGGTTCGTAGAAACTCGAACCCCTTGAATACCTCTATAAAAATCAAAAAAAAAAAAGGAATAAGGAAAAAAGGGACCCACACCCGAAAAAAATAAAAAGTCATGAAACTCACCAGCCATACGACGTCGATGGACCTCGTGGTCGAGTTTCCGAGCGATGGGGTGGTCCCACGGGAACGTTTTCGCCCAATTCCGCAACTCTTCATGCGTGCAGCGACGGAACAGCGCGCGGAACAACTCATGGCCCATCGGCAGGTGGTGCAATATCTTCAGCATGTCAATGAGGATCGCAATTGGTACGGAGAACAAAACCAGCGACTGGAGCGAGCTCACCATGTTGAACAACTTGACGGATCAAACTGGAATGAGCTCACACGGAGCGCGCAACGGGATTTAGAGACTTGATGAGAGGAACTGATTGGTGGAGAGACATCACGTGGGGGAGTTTGATCACGAGAGGAGATTCTAGGGGGTACCCCCCATGGGTACACTTTTTGAGTGGGACCCCAAGTCCTGGCGCGAGTGGGTGATTGGTCCAAGAAACGGATAACTAAGGCAGACTAGAGCGGAGAGGTCTCATTCCATGCTAGGTGCTGTCATCATGGACTGCCGAGGGTTAGTCGACCCCAGGAACAAACCGTTTGGCCGTGTATTGCCTCTGGAAATCCAGATCAAGATTATGTTTTGGGTCCATTGTTTCTATACGATGGACAAACGTAAGAAGGTGGTCCAAGAGTTTAAGGGATTGCCCAAATGCGACATGACAGGGTTTCCCCAACACCTGGGCGAAGGTCGGTGGTGGAATCAAGTGGTGTTGCGGTTGCGCACCCCTCGAAAAAATGGGTGCCACCATTGCCACCGTGTGATGGATCACCGGTTGTCGGTGAGTGATTTTTTTTTTTAAGTGGTATTCTTTTTTCATGACCTTGACCCTGAAAAAAAAACTTTTGTCTGGTTTTGTAGATTGGCATGATGGTGGAGATGGCACGTGTCCCTCCCAATCTGGACAATGTGATGAATGAGGGGATCGCGTTTATCATTGACCGGTTCAAGAAGCAGCTTCAGAATTGTACCGTGGGTCAGTACCCCGTGATGATTGGCAGGAGAAAGCGTGCCTACAATACTCTGGACAAAGTCATGCAGAGACTAGATTTGATTTACAATGTCATGTCCGCTATGAATTTTATTGTGGTTGATATACATTGAGATTAAAACAAGTGTTTTTGTGTTCATTGACGTTTGAATAAAGCTTCTAGGGTGGGATAGAGGACTGGGTCTTCTTCTCGGGTGCCTACAATGGCGGTCTTGTCTTGGAGGGTGGGTAAAGCGATTTGTTTCTCGGTCATGCCGTCACAGACTTGATACTCTTGGGAGGTGGGATTCCACCAACACCATTGTTCCTTATCCACATCAAACACATAGAGGGGTTTGCCTAAAAGTTGGGCCATGACCACACCCCATCCTGTGCCACCCAACAAATGCTTGCCATATTCGTCAAAATGACCCAAAGCGAGGACGAGGGACGCCGGCTGGATGACGTAATAATTGCGTTGGATGTACTGGAGGCTGATGGGATGATGAATTTGTCGACCCAATCGAAACGCCACCTGGGTGACGGTAGGTGTGGCCGCATCCAACTGGGACTGGGTCAAGGGCGTGAGGGACTTGGAACGAGGGTGACAGGGTGGGATAAAGACCACACAGGTATGACCATACAAGTGACATAATCGCTCCACATGCGTGTCCACGCCTTTAGCACCTCCGGTGTAAATAGTCAAGGGCATCCTCTGTGAAAAAAAAAATGAAAAAAAATTCAGTGTTTATGACGAGGGATGGGAGTCCAAGCCCACATGGTATGCGGTTCATCATCGGCGTACATCAGGGGTACATCCCATTCCCGCTGGGTCACGGTTTGTTCAAAGACATGTAAGACGCTACGACAATCACTGCAATCATCCGGGATCCAATCCAGTCCTTGACCGTTGGCAAACGCCTGGTCTTTGGCTTCGGTACAATAGTTGCATAACAGTTCGTCTAATAATCGATCACACCGTTTTTGCCACAATACGCGTTGGGCGTTGATTTGCGAAAGGGTGGGTAGGACATGGGTCTGGCGACGTAACCATCCACTCATTTGACAGACCCGCACGTGGGCGCAATGATCATGCCAGACGCCACTCCCACGTGCCATGTGGGAATGATCCTCGCACCAATTGCGACCATGATCGTGGTGAGCCATGACATTGGCGGTGGCAATAGGGAGATTGGCCAAGTCCCCACACCCCTGCCCTTCTAGGACCACGAGAGGGTAGGCAAACGGGGGCTCTTGCAACATTTTAGCCAGGCCGTTGAGCGTGAACACCCCCAATCGTCCCCGCTGGGGGGTGAGATGCTGTTGACACCAACGGGTGATATCGTCTCGCATTTGATCGTAGGGATGAAAGTCTTGGCGATTGTACGCTGTGTAGGGTTCGAAGGGCAAGCCATGCACAGTCTGGGTCTGACGATCGACGCGCGTTTGGGCCTCCTCGGATAATTGATGGTACGATACGCCTAGGGGTAACAGGTATTTGAACAATCCATGATGATGCCCCGTCCAATCACAAAAAGCCAGTTCTCGAATAATATATTCGTCTCGGGAGAGGGCAAACCCCTGACTGAACACCAAGAGACCCACTTCATGGAGCGCCATGCTTACCGTTTCAATGGGATCGCGACGAATGAGAGGGGTCGTTGACCCATCACTGGTTTTATAGCGACGGGGATAGTCTCTGATTGGTGGACCCACGGATCACACCACGCTCACGAGAGACCAGGACGAGTTCGGATTGGTGGAAAAAAGATCGTATGAGCATCACGAGATGCAAGAGGAGGGGCTATAAAAGGCAGGCAAGACGTTCACCCAGAGTTAGTTCAGTCGAGGGATGGATCGTCAAGCCACTCAACCTGCGGCAGTGCCTTCGGGACGTAAACGACGTCGAGTGAGTAGTAAGAAGCCCAAAGAAGAAGCGCCAGCCCTAGACCTGAAAGCCGCTCGTGAACTGGAGATGAAAGCCACCCGTGATCTGGAGATGACTCAGATCGGTTTGTCCCGACCTGAAGCCGAAGCCCTAGAGAAGGAAGTCCTTCAAGACCCGTCCAGTGAACTCTCGGTGGCTCTGAAGGCCCTCTCCCGAGCTGAACTCCTAGATAGGAAAGCCAAACAACCCCCTACCAGTGAACTGGTGATTGCTCTCAACGCCTTGCCGAAAGCGGCCGACTTGACGCCACTGTCCACACCCTCCCCCACCGACCAATCCGTGAACGCGTTGATGGAGGGCACCCTAAAAGACTATGAGGAAGAATGTATAGAGGAAGGAGGAGAAGAGCTAAACCAGATGGACACTCAGTTCAACCAACTCCTGTATGAAGCATGCCCGTTTCATCCCCATCGATTCCTTGAATGCGTCAACCCCCAATCCAATTTTGGTCCCTTAAGGTTCAAGTGTCCCCAAGAAGGGTGTCCGGTCTATTTGTTTGAAGACACGCGAGAGGTGATGATGGAGGCATTGAAAGAAGACACGCATCCTCAAGTCCATGCCCGAGTGAAACGTGGAGAACTCAAGTGCAAATGTGGGTTCGTTCCCAAGATGAAATTGAGTCGGACGGCCAAGAATTACCATAAAGTGTTTTTCAGTTGTGGGAGCTTTCTCACCCATGCCAAACCCTGTGGCTACTTTCAATGGCTCCATGGTCCTCTATGGTGTCCCCGTGAGCAAGCGCAACCAACCCTGAGACGATGGGTGAAAGACACACCTGTCCCTCTTCTGAGAGGAAAAGACCCCGAGAAGGAGAGACCCTGGGGGATGCACGCTGTGGAGATGCGTTATGGTGAGAGGCCAAACCCCGCGATAGAAAAGTTAAAGTATGATCCATGGATGAAACAGTTTGGCGATTCTGTCCAAGCCCAAGAGAATGCGTTTGAGAGAAGGCGCCATTTTCATAAGAACTTTGGGAGCTCGTGCTTGTTTTGAAAAAACATGTAGGTGTTTGTGAAAAAAACTATTAAAGACAGAAATTGGTCATGATTGGGTGTCAGTGTCTTGATGTCGTTGCCACGCGCTTACGAAGATCCCCAAGAACCTGGGGCCTTGGGTGGGGTCCAACCCTTTGCCCAAGCCCACAAATTGAAAACCCCGCAAGCGCAACAGATTCTTCAATCCGTGTTGAGCTATACGCTCCACAAACCCCGACGGACACGGTTTCCCACCACCCCCACCTTGGTCTTTGGCCGAGACGAACAATGGCAGATGGATTTAGTGGACATGCAAAAACTCAGTCGGTGGAACAAAGGCAACAAATATTTGTTAACGGTCATCGACGTCTTGTCCAAGTATGCCTGGGCCGTCCCCATCAAATCAAAGAGTGCCACCGACATGATCCGAGGGTTGGAAACGATACGCCGACGGGCCTCGCCGCGACGACCCCTCCGTGTACAAACGGATCAAGGCCAAGAATTTTTGAATCGAAAAGTCCAAGCCTGGTTCAAGAAACACGACTGGCATCATTTTTTCACGTATGGGGATAGCAAGGCCTCGGTGGTGGAACGATGGCATCGCACCTTGAAACAACGCATGTACCGGTATTTCACCGCGCACAATACGTTACGGTACGTGGACGTCTTACAACCCTTGATCTATACCTACAATCACGCCTATCATCGCAGTATTGGGTTGGCCCCGCATCAAGTCACCTTTCGAAACGAGTCCGAGGTATGGGATCGACTCTATGGATCACGGTTGAAGCAAAAGATCCCCCCACCCAAATGTCGCGTAGGGGATCGGGTGCGTCTCAACAAGAAACATCGTCCCTTCAAAAAAGGATATTTGCCGGGCTGGACGGAAGAAGTGTTTGTGGTCACGCATGTGCGTCGTCATCCCGTGGTGACCTATCAGCTCAGTGAATGGGACGGCACACCTATAAAAGGCACGTTTTACGAACCCGATGTCCAAAAAGTCCAAGTATCGGACGATTCATTGTTTCGAATCGAAAAAGTCTTGAAACGCAAAGGACGTCAAATCTTGGTCCGGTGGAAAGGGTGGCCGGCCAAGTACGATAGTTGGATTCCCGCGCAACATGGTCCGCGTCAAAATAACGCCTCGAAAGAGAAAAAAGCGGGTGCGGTTTCTCGATGAAGTCCAGGCGGATTCCAGCCGACCGCGGGCCAGTTACACCCCACCCCCTACCACGGACGCGGACATTATGAACTTCATCCAGAAAAAAGCCGCTGAACAACGGCAAACTCAACCGTGGTGGGAAAAGTTGGCCAGCCCCACCAAGCAGCAATGGGCCTACGCCAATGCTTACCATCGAGCCGAAGAGTATGCCAAGCAACGAGGGGCCTTACGGTCCCCACCCAAGAAAAAACAACGTCGACGCGCCGGTCGTCATCCACCCATGCGCAAGAAGAAACCCCCTAAACAAAAGACTTGCATGACCCTGATGGAACTGGCCCGGGCCTTTCCCAACATTGCCCAGCAAGTGTGTTTTCATCCCAAACAATCGACCTTCAATTCGTTAGTGGGACGCGTCCCTCGCAGTAAACAGAAAGTGGACCACTGGCTATAAAAGGACCCTGCACCCTTGGGGACGTGCCTCTTGTTCATCATCATGAGTGAGATTAAACGCTTGACGCTCATCAGTGATCCGACCGATGAGTTTCCCAACAATGCCAACAACAGTTTCAAGGTCCGTCTGCCCGAACGCCTTAGCTTACCGGGCGATGGTTGGCACGCCTCTCTATTGTCCCTGACCGTGCCAGATCAAGGCCAAAGCAATGCCATCATCGCCGCGGATCCTCATACCAAAGTGATCAAATTCAAAATGAACTATGTGATACGCAAGTGGGTGACGGGGATGTACCGATTCGCCGAGGTGAAAACCGTGGACTGCGTGTTGGAATTGGAAGAGATCATGAACGCGAGTCAAATCGTGGCGACGGGGAGTCAGTTTTGGAGACGCGTGATGCAAGAAATGCACAACAAAATGATGCACAATGTGATGGCGGAACAAATGCGGTGGCTGGTCACGGAACCTGACCAAAGACCTGTTGTCAGTGCCAAACAAAACGCCATGCCCCGACTGACCTGGAAAAAAGGTGCTTTGGTGATTAAGGCCCTTCCCATCATGGATTTGCTTAAAGAGGACAAGAAAGCCATCACTGATTTTTTCATCAACCTGGACATTGCGCTCAAGTTTGGATTGGTGGAGGAAAAGACAGTCAACAACGCGACAAAGTATTACCTAGGGCCCAATTTGCAATACACGCTGCCCATCAAGACGTACGATTCGGACACTCCACCCAAAGGGAAGTCCAATCGCTCGCCCTACAACTGGGAAGGTGTGCAATACGAGGCCGTCAATCCCACCTTGATGTTTGGCAATATGGTCAGCAGTATTGAACATGATCCCCTGCAAGTTCGGACCCTTGATGGTGTGAAGTTTTTGCATTTGTCCTTGATAGTGGAATGGCAGTTGAATAACCTAGATGCCTCCTTTGAAAAGATCGTGGGGACTCGCAAACGTACCGTCATGGTCTATTCGGATCTCGTCGAATCCACCGTGGTGGGCAGTGGCAAGTTTCCCCTGTTACGGGAAGTGCAATTGTTGAGAACCGGCGATGGGGAAAGTACGGCGGAACCCTTGCACCACCAATGGATCAAACTACGAGGCCAACAAATGGATATCTTGGAAGTGGAGATTGCCAGTACCAGTGGACCCCTGGCCATTTTACCCCCGGGCAAAACCCTGGTGACCATTGGTCTCAAAAAGTTATAAAAAGCCACCCCACGTCTCTGGAAGGTCCAAATAGCACCACGACGTGAACCGATCATGCGCGGAGGCAGCTTAACGCGGTACCACACACCCGTGCTCACCAAGCAAGAGGGCAAAGGGTTGGCCGAAGACTTGATCAAACTGGCAGGACCCCTGATTGTGCAACAAGCTCAAGCGGGACTGCAAGATATTCAACGAGGCAAGAGTGCCGCAGCCACCTGGGCCGATCGAAGTGCCCAACTCAGCCGCGGCTTGAAACGCAAAGCCCCTGCCATGGCTTGGACGGCGGGCAAACACAAGGTTAAACGGACTGCCCAAAATACCTATAAAAGAGCCACGCAACGCGTACGGGATATCTTTGGACTGTGAAAAATGGTACGTGTAGGAGGCTTTCTGAAAACGCAAAATCGTGTTCGACGGCAACGCGCCCGTGGACGGTTCATTTCGCCGTATCAAGTGGGGGGTACGATTTTTGGCAAGTCGACCATGGCGCGCTATCCCCTGATGAATACGACGCATCGGATCAACCCCGAACCCTGGAGGGTGAAGCAAGCCCTGCGCCGCATGAAAGGGGGCACGATCTTTGGCAAGTTCACTCGCAGGCGCAATAATCCTTTGGGGTTCCCCACGGCGGCAGATGGAATCAATCCTGCACCCTGGAGGGTGAAGCAAGCCTTGCGCCGTATGAAAGGGGGCACGATCTTTGGCCCGGGGGATCTCCGAAAAGTGTTGTGGGCCAACCAAGCCAAAGCCAGGAAGCAACGTAGGCGAAAGGGTATAAAAAGAGGACGCCGTTGAACCTCGTGGACAGATCGCATCATGTCGCTCAGTCTGTTTGACGTGCCCGATGTGGATTATCGGTACGAAGCCTCTCGGGAGGTGGAGTTTCAACCCGCCTTGACGGGCATCCAACCCATCACCTTCTCCATTCTAGGCTCCGACGATTATTACGACACCAATTCTCTTCGCTTCAAAGTCAAAGTACGCCTGACCGATCCTGCCGCTGGGTACAATGGGTTGGTGGCCAATCTGGCCGACTCCGATGCCAACAATTCCAGAAACACCTACTGCGTCAACAATTTCGGTCACACCATCTTTCGAGACATTACCATGAGCATGAATGGCGTCCTCATGACAGAACAGAGCAACACCTACCATTACAGAGCCTACGTAGAAACCCTGCTGAATTACAACCGAGAAGAAGGAGCCACCAAGCTAGCCCCTCAAGGATGGGTCAATCAGCTCAATGTGATTCCCGTCATGGGAGCCACAGGAGCCAATTCAGATATCCCCACCGCTGCGAATTGGAGTGGCAATACAGAATTGCGAGCCCTGACCAGCAAGTTACTGGGTGAAAATTGGCACACTTTCATCGTTCGTCCCCATTTGCCACCCCTGAAGACAGGCAAATTGTTGGTCCCCAATGTCCAGATGGACTTTGAACTCTTCCTGAACCCCAACTCCGTCTACCTGCTGGGCACCCCTAACAAAGGCACCTTGGTAGCCAAGAAATTTCCAGCCATCCACAATGATGACATCAAAGTCACCTTGTTGATGAGAAAAGTGACCTTGAATGCCAGCGTCTATGTCAGACTGCAGAAAGAAAGACAGATTGCAAAACAGATTGCCCGCTACCCTGTTGTACGAAGCGAAATTCGCACGTTTTCCTTTGATGGACGCACCACCCAGTGGGAACAAGACAATGTGTTTGTGGGTCGATTTCCTGATCGAGTGATGGTGGGATTATTGCATTCCAACACCTTCAATGGAGACCTCACCAGATACCCTTTTGCCTTTCAAAAGTTTGGCGTCACCCAAGTACGACAGACCTTGAATGGAGAAGAATACCCTTACAGAACCCTGCAATTGACTGGAGACCAAAACTATGAAGATCTGCTGGGCTACGATCGATTTCTACAAGCCATGGGTGCCTACAATGAAGATAAGATTCCCATGCTGCTGCCTAGTGATTGGGGACAAGGCAAGAACTGCACGTTGTTTATGTTCATCAATGTGCCCAGTGGAAAAGCAGATGACCCCCAGTATCGCAACCCCCGTCAATCAGGCAATACGCGACTGGTGATTGATTTTGCTGCAGCCGTGGGTCATAACATTACTATATTGGTATGGAGCGAGTATGAAAACATGTACGAGATCAATCATCTGGGAGGTATAAAGTACAACATCAACGGATGAAGTTGCCTCAGAAGTCAGAAGACATTGGTCATGGAGTTTGTGGCGCTCAGCGATACTGTGTTGCGGACCCTGGCCTTGGAGGATCCCACCTTACGACGTGTGTTTCATGGGGTGCACCCAGCCGACCAGCTCCCCCGATCCCCCGCCATGAGTGTCCGTCAAGCCTACATTGTCAACACCGATCCAGCGGGAGAACCGGGACAGCATTGGTTGGGTCTATGGACAGAAAAGAACCAGTGCGAGATCTTTGACAGTTATGGTCTACCCCTGCACGTGTACACCAACCCGGAGTTGCACCAATGGTGGGGTCAATGGAAGTACCTGACGCGCAGTGACCAGACCCTGCAAGCCCTGGATAGTCAAACCTGTGGCCATTATGCGTTATTTTTCTTGAAAGCCCGTGCACAAGGACGGTCGTATCAAGAATTTTTAAGTCAATGGAGTTGCGACAATTTAGTGTTGAATGATCAAAAAGTGGCCGAGCAGTTGAAACAGGTGATCAAACGGGAATTACAAGATGAAGTCCATGCCCGACCTGACGGGGGGCAAAAGAATGTGAGCCGCCAGGCCTTTATCACTTGTAATCATTGTGAGTGTTGAATAAAAACCCATAAAACGAAGTGTGTGGTCCACGAGTGGTCATTGTCTCTCATCATGATTACGCGAGCCGATGTCCAGCGGGTGGTGGATGCGTTCATTCTGGAAGAAACCTTGTATTGGTGGGAACACCCCATCGAAAAGGTCAACACGGTGCGTGGCATCGATGCCTGGGATGGGTATCATTGGTTAATGGCCCGACAATTGGCACAAGACCAAGATTGGGTCTCCCTCAAACAGTACATGGACAGCATGAGCGAAACGTATTTAAGAGAAACCATGGAAGGTCTGATCCAGTCCGAATCGCCTCGCTTATACCGCGACTATTGGACGGCATGCCCAGACGACGACGACGACGACAGCGCGCCTCCACCCGACGACCCCGCTTTCGCCAAAACGGACGAGGCATCATGAGCGTGTTGGGCAAAGCGTATAAAATCGGCGACCAATTGGGACGGGACAAACGGTATAAACGCATGGGTGCTAAAGGGGCCACCGGTCATTATCGACGTCACCCTCGACCGTGGGAATCATGATCCGACAACCTAGCAGTGTGATCATCGCGGGCCCGTCGGGCAGTGGCAAAAGTGACTTGGTGGAACAATGGTTACGGTACCTGAACGTCTTTCAAGTCAAACCCCGCAAGATTGTGTATGCTTATGATCGCTGGCAACCCCGATTCGAGCGTATGCAAAAAAAAGAGGGGATTCAGTTTCATCGCGGATTACCGGACCCCCGTCATTTGACGCAATGGTTTGGTCGGACGCGCGGCGGGGTACTGGTCTTGGACGACCTGATGGAAGAAGGGGGACAAGACAAGCGCGTGTTGGATTTGTTCACCAAAGATTCGCATCATCGCAACATTACGGTGCTGTATTTGACGCAAGATTTATTCCCGCCGGGCAAATTTTCCAAGACCATCAATCGCAACGCGCATTACATTGTGGCGTTCAAAAACCCCCGGGATCAAACAGGGATACGGACGATTTTATTGCAAGCCTTTCCGGATCGGTGGCGTCAAGTCTTGCGCCTATTTAAACGCATCACGGCCCGCCCCTTTGGCTATTTGATGTTGGATGTACATCCGGCGTCGGATGATCGCTACCGCCTGTGGAGTCATTTAACGCCTCGAGAAGGCAAAGCGCAAGTTCACACCTTGCGGGCGGATGTCCCTGCCGTTCGACAACGCCCTGCAACGAGAACTCGCCAGGGTCCGCCGGCAAAGAGAAGGCGGACAACATACTGAGTTAGCCACTCGCATGGACACACCGACCCTCTCGCCCGCGGGGGTGGGTTCCCCTTCGGTCCTCCGGGATCTCAGCAGCATGACGGACATGGTGACCGAATTGTCTCGACCCGTGGATCGTGTCCAATTGGAGCAACACATTGACGATTTCAATTTGACCTACCCGGTCAATGTAGACGATGCCTTGAATGCATTCACGCTCCCGCCCGTGGCAGGCACTGGCACTGCCCCCGCCACCACCACGGCACCACCACCATCCACCATCACCACCACCGCTCCCATCACTACCACGGCTGCCCGTCCCACCACATCCACCCGAACTCGTCCCACCACGACTACCACCACCACCAGTCGACCACGACCCGTCACGTCCACTCGAACACGCCCCGCCACTACCGCCACGACCACCACCGCCCCCTCCCGCCCCTCCACCAGCCGCCGCAGTGCCGGGGCAGGGACCAGGACTACCACCTCCACGGTGACGACCCCCACTGGACGCCCCACCATGGCCGCCAAACAACCGCGACGGCGCCCCAGGGTGCCCTCCCCACCATCCCCCGATTCGTCCCCTCCGTCTGATGACGAGGATGGCGATGATGATGATGACGATCGACGGCGAGGGTTAAGGCGACGGTTGGATTTGCTCAATGAAGATGCTCAAGAACGGGCACGAGGTCGACGGATTCGCAACATCACGCACACCAATACAGTTACGACCGTGTATGAAGAGGGTGGTCGTCCCTCGGTGCGCCGCACGTCCACCCGAACCTCCAGCCCAAGTCCACCCAGACCACCACGCCGAGGACGGGGCCGTGGCCGTGGCCGAGCACGCGGACGGGGCCGAGCCCGTGGACGAGGAGGCAGTTCTTCATAAAAGGTATAAAAACCGTGGCTTCCCTTCTATCGTCCCAAAATGTGTGGTGAATGTCGACACGCCATGGGCCCTCGACGCAAACGCCAACGTAGGACGACACGACGACGACCCGCCAAACGACGACGGCGTGTGAGTCAAGTAGGGAGTGTCGCGGCCAGTCTGCCTATGGGCATTCTCAAAGCCGGTTATGGAATCACCAAAGCCATCGGGGATCATCAAACCAAGCGTGCCATCGCCATTGGCGAAAAACGTCGACGAGAAGTGGCTTCAGGCAAACGGAAAAAATACGCGGGGGAATCCTTTAATTGTTCCATCATGTGAAAACTATAAAAGACCAAAGGTGTGTCCTCCATCGGACAGATCATCATCATCATGCACTGTGGTCCACGACAACGACGAAAACGACGCCGAAAACAACAAGGGGGTATTCTCCCACTTCTCATCCCCGCGGCTGTTGCGGCAGCCGTCCTCATGAAGAAGAAGAAAAAAAAAGTGGGCAAGATCAGTGCAGCGCAAATGGCCGCCAATCAACGACGAGTCGAGCGGATGTTTAATCGAATGCCGGGTTGGGGTGGATTCAAAACGCTGAAAAGGCTATAAAAGAAAACACTGAAAAAAAGCTATAAAAGAAACGCTTGGTGGGACACACGATTCCAATTGAGGATGGTCCGTGGACCCAACGGTCGCCGACATCGTTATGTCCCTCGAATACGACGCCGACGACGTGGATTGCAACGTGGAGGCGTGCTCCCCATGTTGGCATTGGCTCTCTCGCCTGGGGCGTTCAAGAAGAAACGGCAGGCGCGCCGACGCTAACGTGACCAAGAAACGAAAAGCCGTCACGTTTGCATTGGATTGGGACGACCAGTATGAAGCGGCTTTGTGTGCACGGTGTCGACATCACATGCAAACGCATTATCATGGCGAATTGTGTGGTCGATGTGGCGCCATTTTTACCATAAATAGACCTTGGTCCTTGCCTGAACTGAAGATTCATCATGGGGTGGCGCATGGAACGTCAAGCCCCGTTCTTAAAAAGTGTCTTACAAGAAGCCAATCAACACAAACGCCAAGAATTGTTGCGGATGGCCAATGCGGATCAGATCAATGCTGTCAGTGAATTGGTGATGAACACTCTCCGTGGCACGGTACCCCGTTCCCGACAGACCATTACGTTGCTCAAACCTCACGCTCAGAGTTTACGCGCCATGGCCAAACCCGCCCATTCCGTCAAACGACGACGCGCCATCATGATGGCTCAAAAAGGGGGCGCCCTCTGGCCGGAACTCTACCGATGTTATAAACGTTGCATGCGCTAGACCAGACTCCTCAGTTGCACCATGGAACCCGAGATGGTGAGCACCACGGTGAACAACGCCCCGGCTTTTTTACAATTACGAGACCAGTACAAACAAGAATTGGTGGAAGATACCCGCTTGACCAAAGCCGCTGATTTAGCCGCCAAACAACATGTCCTCCTGACCAGTGACGCCCCCGATGCTTGGAAACGGCCTCAACTCAAAGCCGTGAGCCGTCAATTACGCCATTGGACCAAAAAAGTGCGCCAACCGTTCGGAGCCCCAGCTGGGGGTGTGAGTGCCGCAGGGGCCACGACTCCGGGCGACGATGATTTTGAGGCAGGCCCGATGCAAGCTTGGTTCACGCAATTGGTCAAGGCCACCCAGGGTATAAAACAAGGCACCCCGACTCGTGGACCCAGAAAACCCCCTGTCCCGCCCAAACCAAGGTTCACTCCCAGTGCCAAAAAGAAACTCAAGTTCACGACCCCTGCAACTCCGTTGAGCAGCGAAGAATTGGCGCACGAGTTGCCCTTTTCAGAGGAGCCTGGAACAGGACCTTGGGATACCCCCAGTGAACGTGTGGACTCTATCAAGCAATCGGTCAAGCGCGAGATTCTCAAAAAAGCCGCTGGTGTCGCCAAAAAGAAAGCCGCTGGTTGGGCCAAGAAAGCCTTGGATTGGAAATCGTGGAAAACCCCCTAAGATGGGACGCAAACGCCGTGCAGCGACTCGTTCCCGAACGAGGCGGCGACGACGCTCGCAACGGGGCGGCAAGTTATTTGATGTGCAAAACCTCCTTAACAAGACCGGTATTGAATTTCATTGGCCCGGTTATCAGTATATGGGTCCTGGCACCCATTTAAAGAAACGATTGGCCCGTGGGGATCCCGGCATCAACCGGTTGGACAGGATTGCGAAAGCGCATGACATCGACTATGATAAAGCCAAGACGTTGAAAGACAAATGGGCGGCGGATCGCAAGATGATTGCCAAGATTGATCAACTCCCTGGTAGCAAAAACTTGACAGAGCGTTTCGTTAGACGCATTATGAAAGCCAAACTCCGATTGGGCATGTAAACCCCCTTAGTCATAAAAAAGACAACATGTTAAATTGCACAATACACTGATTTAATTAAACTTCATTTTTTTCGTTCTTACAAATACATGTCCATTTTCTGCAAGGCCTCAGCGCGAAGGGTCTGTACCTTGTCCTCGTCAGGCTCGGACTCGACCCAGTCTAAGGGTAGCCACGGGAGGGGAAAGGGATGCTCCAAGGCCTCGTCCAACCAGGACCATTCTCGAAGCCGAATGGATTCCATTCGCTGCTCGTACCTCTGTTTCTGTAGAGCCTTCCACCCTTCTTCGCCCAACGCACGTTTTTTCTCGTGAGCAATTTCTCGCCGCCGTGCATTCAATCGCTGCTTGTACGCTTCATACAACCCCTTGTCCTTCATTTTTTGCATCCAGTTACGCTGGCACTGGGCGTTTTTGCGTTTGACCTCATTTCGCTGCTCCTCGGTCATGCCATGGTAGCGCCGCATCCCCTCCTCGGTCTTTTTGGCCTTGAAAGCCTCATACTCCCCATTGGCCCTCATACGGGCCATCCGCTCGTGGTAGCGACGACGGTGCATGGCCTTCACCTCCTCAATCCCATTCGGAGCCGCATATAGGCGCTGCCGATACTGTTTTTGCTGTTCTTTGGTTCTTTTAGGGTCCCGTTTTCTCTTGGGGGGCTGGTGCGATCCTGGCATATCCATGCTCTTGTTCTAATACTCGGGCCGCACACACGTCCGCCAACGCACGTAACTCTCGGAAGGGATGGGGTGTCTCCCGAGCCCGGGCACGACGGTCCCGTTGCTGCTGCACAATTTGATCGCGGTGTCGACGATAATATTGACGGTTCAGCGCCCGCACTTGGTCTCCGTGCGTGGCTCGGTATCGGTTACAGGCCAACCGATTCAATTCTCGGGCTCTGGCAAGCTGTTCCTGGGTCGGAGGCGGCTTAGGCGGTTTGGGCGGCTTGAGCTTTTTCTGAGCTGCCCGCTTCTCACGTTTCTTTGCCTTAATCTCTTCTCGGTGTTTCAGGTACCACCGGTGTTTAGCTTCTTTCACCTTCTCAGGATCTCGATTAGGCATGTCTCAATGGCAACTGACGTCTGGTCTGGACGAGGGTCTATATCTAGAGTTCTCTCCACCAATCACCGATCTCGTACCAGGCTCAGCGGAGACTGGAGAAATCTGTACCCATGGGGGGCACCCCCCTCAATCTTCCTCCGGTCCAATCAACCCCTCACTTGACTCTCACCTGACTCTCACCTGAGCCCCATCCACCAATCCCGGTTCGTCTGATCACGTGTTTTTAGGTCTATAAAAGCCAGCGTCTGGCGCGGGAAATTCAAATTGTCTCCTCCGTCATGGCGGAAGACTCTTGGTATCCTGACAGTGAGGAGGAGGAGGAGGAGGAGGATGCTCTGTTGAACCGCGCTTATGACCGGTGGGAACAGTTGGGCGGGGCCGCTCCCGCCCGAGGCCCTCTCTTTCAATTCACCATGCAACCCATCGGTCGACGACGCCGCTGGCGCAATGTGGTGGAGCGGGCGCAATTCAACGCGCAATTGCGTCAAATGAGGGATCCGGGTCCTGGGGATAATATTGGGATGGCACTCACGGAAGCATTACACCAAGCCATTGAAACGGAACTCGGCCGTGAACAGCGACCCGCCCATCATTTTGTGAACTTTGCTATTACAGCGCATGGGTTCACCCACGCCTATCAAACTGCCAATTTCACTGTGGGGGAATTTTTACAACGTACGGCTCGTTTGGATGAGATGTTGGCCACCCTGGCTGGCAAGTTAAACAGCAATGAAGCCTTCAACCCCGATCGCGGGTTCCAAGTAGATGTGGTGTTTGTCTCTATGCCTGGCCCAGGGTCTGGTCGACACAAAAAAACACTCAATGCAGGACGTTCATGTTTGGATCGAGTCAATAAAAAAAAGAAATGCATCATCCCCATCAAAAACAGAGATGCCCTATGCTGTGCCCGCGCCATTGTCACCATGCGAGCCCATTGCCATAAAGATCAAGGCGTGGACGGGTTTCGCGACTGGGAGAATCTCAAACGTGGGCTTCCTGTGCAGCAGCGTCAATCCCAGGCCCTCCATCAACAAGCAGGTGTGGCTGAGGGTCCCTGTGGATTACCCGAGCTTCGTCAATTTCAACAAGCGTTGGGGTCTCAATATCAACTCTTGGTGATGACCCGGATGAAACCGTTTTTTTTGATCTTCAAAGGCCCCACCGCCCCTCATCAGATTCGTTTACTGAAATCCAACGATCATTTTGATGGCTGCACGTCTTTTCCTGCCTTTGTAAACCGTTCGTATTATTGTGTGGACTGTGAACGGGGGTTCAACTCCAACGATCGGACCCATCACACTTGTCAAGGAAGACGTTGCTCCGCGTGTGGGCGCTTTGATTGTCCGGAGTATGTGCGTGGCACCCGTCCCACCGAGTATTGCAGTTCGTGTCACCGCAAGTTTTATGGTATCCATTGTATGCAATATCACGTGGTCAGCCGACAATGTCAATCCATCAAATGCTGTCGCAAGTGTCAAGCCCAATATACGGTCGTCCGCAACCAGCGTCACCAGTGCGGGTACGCCAAATGCCTCGTGTGTCAGGAATGGGTACCCATCCAAGACCATAAATGTTACATTCAGCCTGTGGTGGAGGAGCATGAGGAGACTGAACCCACAGAGGAGGGGGGAGGTCGCATGGTGGCGCCACCCCCTCCCCTGTTTGTTTACGCGGATTTTGAAGCCATGCAAAATGAGGAAGGCGTGTTTGTAGCCAATTTGTTGTGTTATTCATCGAGTGCCGAAACGACTATTCATGTATTGGACGGGGAGGATTGTGCCCTACAATTTTTGCGTGATTTGGATGATCTCACCGACGTTCCAGACAGCGAGGGCGAGCGGGAGATTCTCGTGGTATTTCACAATTTGAAAGGCTTTGATGGCATGTTTATTCTCCACGAACTCTACCAGCAACAACGCGTGGTCGAGGATCAACTGACGGTGGGAGCCAAAGTCCTATCGTTCAAGAGCGGACCCCTCAAATTCATTGACTCGTTATGTTTCTTGCCCATGCCACTCGCTTCTTTTCCCAGTACCTTCAATTTGACCGAATTAAAGAAGGGGTTCTTTCCCCATTTATTCAATACCCCCGATCACCAACAGTATGTGGGCCGCATCCCCGATTTGGAGTTTTATGATCCTGATGGCATGATGGCCAAAAAGAAAGAGGAACTGACCCGTTGGCACGCCGATCAAGTCCGTCGAAACGTGCCCTTCGATTTCAAACAAGAAATGATCGACTATTGCAAATCAGATGTGGCTCTATTGAAAGCGGGGTGTGAAGCCTTTCAAGAGGAATTTGAACAGCAGGCTGGCTTCAACCCTATGGCCAAGTGTATCACCATCGCCAGTGCTTGCAATCTGTATTGGCGCAAGCATCATTTGACCCCCGACACCATTGCGGTGGAACCTCTCGGAGGGTGGCGAGGGGCCCAAGTCAATCAATCCCTCAAGGCCCTCCAATGGCTCTACTACCAAGAACACCTTATTCCCAAAGAGGGGGCCAGTGCTGACCGTATTCGTCACGTTCGTAACGGGGGCGAACAGTCCATCCGAACCAGTGCCAATACTCATTTCGTGGATGGCTACGATCCCCTGACTCGCACCGTCTACGAGTTTCATGGATGTCTCTACCATGGCTGTCCCCGCTGTTATCCTAATAGGCAAGCCAAACATTATGTGGTGCCGGACAGAAGCGTCGAGGAACTCTATCAAGCCACGCTCTCCAAACGCATGGCACTGCTCCGAGCAGGCTATACGGTGATCGAAATGTGGGAATGTGAATGGGACAACTTGGTAGACAGTGATGAAGCCGTCCAACATTTCTTGACGTCCTTTGATCTGGTGGCACCCCTGGAACCCCGTCAAGCCTTCTTTGGAGGTCGAACCGGTGCCGTCGCTCTGCATGCCGTGGCTGGAGAGGGTGAGGAAATACGTTATGCGGACGTGACCTCCCTGTACCCGTGGGTCAACAAAAACTGTCCTTACCCCATCGGGCATCCGCGGATCATCACGCAGCCCGCTGACCAGTCCCTGGAATCCTATTTTGGTGTCGCCACCGTGGATATTCTTCCCCCCGCTGGTTTGTTCCACCCTGTTCTGCCCGTGCGCAGTGGAAACAAACTCACGTTTCCTCTCTGCCGCGCCTGTGTCCAGACCGAACAGGCCCAATCCATGCTGACTAGAACCCGTTATTGCCCTCATTCTGACACGGAACGCACGCTACGCGGCACCTGGTGTACACCCGAATTGGTTAAAGCTGTCGAAAAGGGGTACACGCTGATCAAAATCCATGAAGTCTGGCATTTTCCCCCTGAGCAACGCCAAACAGGTCTTTTTGCTGATTACGTGAACACGTGGCTCAAGATCAAACAGGAATCCGCGGGGTGGCCGAGTTGGTGTCAGACCCTTGAGCAGAAACGCGACTACATTCTTCGTTACCAGGAACGGGAGGGTATCCGACTGGACATTGCCAGCATAGCCAAAAACCCCGGTCGCAAGACCACAGCCAAACTCATGCTGAACAGCTTCTGGGGTAAATTCGGGGAGCGAATCAACAAACCCACCACTGTCACCGTTCAACAGCCCGCCGATTTGTTCAATCTCATCTCTGATGCTGCCCTCGATCTCAGCACGCTCCGCCTTTGTACCGACGACATCTTGGAGGCTGTCTACACCAGTGTCCACGACAATGCTGTCAAAGGCACCAAGACCAACATTTTCGTGGCAGCTTTCACCACCTGTCATGCTCGATTGAAGCTGTATGAGTCCCTAAACACCCTTCAACAGCAAGTCCTTTACTATGATACAGACAGTGTGGTGTACAAGTGGCGTCCCGGTCAACCCAGCATTGCCACCGGGGATTTTCTCGGCGACATGACCGACGAATTAGATGGAGACGTCATCACCGAGTTTGTTTCGGGGGGCGCCAAGAATTATGGGTACCAGACCCGTGGTGGCAAAGTGGTGTGCAAGGTACGCGGTTTCACCCTGAACGTCCGCGGGTCGGCCATTCTCAATTTTCAGACTATGAAAGACAACATTCTCTCCGAATTAGACTCGCCTCAGGACTCTCGCCGAAATTTGAACATGACCAACCCTTATTATTTCAAACGAGATCTAGAAAAGAAACAAATTCAAGTGGTTCCGCGCGTGAAGCAGTATGGGTTGGTGTTCGACAAGCGTGTCATTGATGTCACCACTCGTTCCAGTTATCCCTATGGCTACGAAAGGATTGGGAATGAACTCGATTTGCTATTAGATTTGTAAAATGGGCGTGATCTCATTTGGAGGTCACCTACGTCCCGCTTGTATCCAGGCTCTACGCGGTCATTAAAACTATGTGAAAAATGCAGATTCAACTCTTATGTGCGAGTGTTCTTGATTCCATGGGGTCACGTGTCAAATCATGCCCATATATGGGCAATTGTGACGTCAATAAGTCACATGGGTGAAATGCGCGATTCTGATTGGTCGAGAAAATTTTTGCTGCGCTCTGATTGGTTGGTACTCTAAGGGGCCCCTTACACTACTATGGGGTTGAAATGCGAAAAATTATATACTTCAGAAAATCGGGAATTTATTAGATAACGTTTCGAAAATTGTGCATGAATGGAACGGTCATCTAGAAACTTGTAGCCTTCCTCAAGCTATAGAAAATTCTAGAAATTTTTGCTTCTTCGAACAGATATTTTGCAAAAACAGTCGTTGGGGGTGCCCCTAATTTAATACTGGAGCGCGCATTTAACAACTGACTTTTTATTTTTACTATAGAGGGAAATGTTAGCCAGTCAACCTATCAGATCTTGAGGCAAATAAATGTAGCTCTGTGAAGCGCAGAAAAGGCCTGCGAACAAATCACCATCGGTCTTACCCGTTATACCGTTTCTTGTTATTATAGTTTTGACGGTTTAGATGCCGACGCATGATTTTATTCTCTGATAACAAAGTGCGGCACTGTAAATCAAAAGCACTCTAAGCAATAGTTGCCCAATAAAAAAGGATGGGAGTCTTTTAAATTTGGCAGTGATTAAAAAAGATGTACGTAATCGTCATGTCATGAGCGCCAGGGGAAGACAAAGAAAAAAGTTTGAGTTCCTGACGGGATTCCGACCTTTGGTATCTCTGCCAATACCAGGCACGCGGGCGGGCGATCGGACGAGCTCGCGGTCGGGCGGGCGCATCCACTGATCGATGGAGAGGTCTACTCATTCAGAGCGATTTACAAAACGCGTTGCCTGCATACTGTTAGGATCAGATATGTCAAGAGCATGCTGATTGGTGATAAGTAAATAAATAAAGATTAAAGGGAATATTATTTAACATAATCAGCACTTACTCTTTCTGCGGTTTAAGCATCTGGTTTAAACCTCGTTCAAGCCTTTCGTTGGTTTTTTTTTTTTGCTTTGTCCTTAGGTCTCATGGGTTGGTGTTGTCCTTGCTTCCTGTTGTGCAGCATTTCCAGCCGCATGCAGGAAGGATTTGCTTATGGCTGCTGCTGCTCTGAAATCGCACCGTTCACTCTGCGTGCCAAGCTGAGAACAGAACAGCATATTCAGGTAGGTCTTTTCAGTTTTTGCTTTGGTAGAGAACTTGGCGATTGTGTACACACGTTTTTGCTTTGTTTGTTTGTTTTTGGGAAATCTTGCAAGCGAGTAAGCGCGAAAAACCCAAGCCCCCGCCCCACCCCCAAAATCCTTGCGCTAGCATTCAACTGCCAACCCACCAATACAATACACCAACCCACCCACCCACCTGACCCACCCACCTGATACTTTGTAAAAGGATAACTCAACTGTGTGGCCATGTTGTAACACCTTAGTTTTTATGCGGTACCGGCCCTCGAGTGTTCATATCTTTTCGACCTACATTCACGGACAAAAGTATTTCGGAAGGTTAGTCCTCAAAAAAGAGAGTTCTCTCTTTTGCTAAATATCTCTCTTGCCTCCCTATTAATTGTTGGGATATAACAGAGCAATCACGCGCACAAACATTGACGTTTTGCTCAGTATTGGGCCAGGGGCGGGCGTGGGGAAGAGAAAGGTAAAAAGTAGCAGCCTTCCCAACACTTTCGACGATAAGAATGGTGGCTTAACTGCTGCTTTTTTTTTCAGGGTTCTCTGTGCAATGATGCCCTCACCTTGATGTTTTGTCTTGAATGCTCTCTCTGCCAGATGGACCGTGAACTCAACGCAGTTGGAAAGTGAAGAAGCAAGCTGCGCCTTTTATTTGCCGTTTGCGACTTATGCAGAATTTTAGAGTGTTTTTTTTTTTTTCGTTATTAACCAAGAAATTTTTCGAAGTTGTAGAGCAGAAGTCTCTCGATTTTTTGTTGGTTGGTGTCTCTTTGATTTTATTTTTGATCGAGTATGGTATATATTCACGACATGATTGTCACTGTTAAGGTGTTATTAAGGCTTTTGGCATGAATCTTTGTTTTACTGGGTTAAGTTGTGTTGATGAGAAATCTCACTTACGCGTTCTCAGAGGACGTTTGTATTCAGTGCATAGTGATAACTTCTGAGCTTAACGTACTAACGTAAATGGTTGCCCGTTTTCCCGTCTAAACGAATCGTGGGGGCTCTCGCCTTTTTCAAGTGTTTGACCAGTTGCTTTCGCTGAAGTATAAAATCAACGTGGAAAGTATCTGAACTTTAGTTTCTATTTTGTTATCTGATAACCAAACACTTTTTTTGTTCAATATTGACCCAGACCTCATGAAATGTTTCGGTCTGAAAATAGCCATACTGTGTCCAACACAATGGCATTTGTAGTGGTGGTCTCGGGAAATTTAAGACCAGACAATAATAGTGTTATCCACTGCTTAACCAGCGAACAGCAGCAAGCTAAGTTTTCTAATTTTTGAGGTTCTTGTTTGAATATCTTGTAGACGAAGTTTGAATGCAGTATCAGTCTTATATCAGAAGCCGGGTGACTTTAAATATTTGCTTGTTGAGAATAAAGAAACATATTAACCACAGTGGTTTCTCGGCGTCAAACCATCCTCGGAGACCCAGGGGCTGTCAGTCGGGTCGGGATAAACGGCGGCGAAAGGGATATTACTCTAAACAAACCAGCTCCACGACGTATTCGAATGCTTGTCTCTGATTGGGCAGAAAAAAATGATTTTGTGTTAATCGGAGGCCAGCATCTATCGTGCTGCATTCGTGATCTTCTTTACCTGCAAACTCGACAGTTCCCTGGGTCTCCGAGGGTGGCGTCAAACCTCCCCGTCCCCCTTTCCCCCACCCCACCGTCTTCAGACATACTGTAGGCTGCAAGTTTTTTCAGGCTTTCTTTTGGCAAATGCACAAGCTGCGTCTTTAACTGAGGGGATGCTTTCCTTATTTATTTGTTCAATTCATTCGGCGGTTCAAATATGTGAAACTTATAAGACTTATAAATACACCATCTCATCAGACAATTACTTTTACGCAAAGGTGAAACTGATCGTTCTAATGAGTGTAGTTACTACTATACTTCAACTATCGTTGACTGATAACAATAGAGGACCTTAAGCAACTACGACGACGACGGCAGTGAAAACATCACTAAAAAATGAATTTGCGTCCTGTCAAACTTTATCGCGTTTATTTGGAACCGCTCAATTCGTCAAATGTAGGCGACTTTTCCCAGGGTTGAATTCTTAAGGTCTTTATCCATTTTGAAATAGAGAAAGGAAAATTTGTCGTCGTATGTCCACGTCCTCCATATGACGTCGCATTGGGAGGTTTCACTTCGTACTCGTGCAGTGGACGTCGAAGAAATGTACTAAAAAGCGTCTGTTGTTTTGCTCATAAAACCAATTTTTTTTTTGATGTTGTTGTTTTCTTCGTCGCCTCAGTTGCTTAAGGTCCCTAATGACGTGCGGTTTACAGTTCTATACGGAATGAGATATATATGTTCTACCTTTTCTTGAAAGGTTTATTGGGTGGTTTACAACCCAAGAGGTACCTATAAATGGCACCGAAGGCCGGATCCCGTGAAGATTTATAACAGGAAAATTACAGAGCCCAGGGAGGTCTTAAAATATGACCCACCTCTATAATTTCCGTGAAAAAAAACTTCTACGTATGGCGTCATCTTCTTCTAATGGAAGAATTGCCTGCTCATAAACATCGCGTCCTCGACAATTAGTAGGCCAAGTGTCCACCAAGGGGTCCAACGGGGTCCACTAACCATGTCTGGGGTTTCAGGGCGGAAAAACGTAATGAGCATGCGATAACTTTTTTGCCCAGATCCCCTGGCCGGGTTTGAAAAAATGGCGGGATTTCAAATATTTTATTGCCTAAAAATAAGATGTTTCCACTCATAACCTGGAAAGAACAGGCAATTTGTCTTCAAAAGTTGCAAGCTGTGGTTATAACATTGTCGTTACTTAATTTTCTCGAAGAATACCTCATAGTAAAACGGACTTTATCGACATCAATTTCCTTGCGTTGTACTGGAAATGTGCATGCGTAGGTCCGATTTTTTTCAAGATGCATTCACAAAATGTGTTCATATAAGGAAGTTCCTGGATATATAAGGTCCGGAGCTCCACCGTGGACACAAAAACAACATATCTTTGGACAGTGATTTGCCCAAAAAAATTAACGCTTGCCCACAATGTGTTTGAAGACACTGAACTTGTCGCACTCGAGCTGATATTTTAAAACCCTCGCTCGATCGGACACTCGTAGTTTCGCAGATAACTAAAATATAAACAAAATCCTCAATGTACAAGTTATTGCGTTGATATGCGGGCAGAAAAAAGGTCAATCTTTATCTAGTAAAATCTTCCCAAAAATCGGTTTTAAAGCAACTATAGTTTATTTTTAAACTTGATCGTTTCGCGTACTAAGAGATAAATATAAATTATGCTTTGTCAAGTTGACAATGTATAACATCTGTCAAAAACCTACACGTAAGTAGGATTTCCTTCAAACAAAGTTAAAATTACATTATTGCAAAAACTTCTTGCTGACAATGAAGAAATGAATTTTTTGTACGAAAACAACCCACCTAAAGATCTTAAAAGCAAAAGATCAGTTGCAGTGAGCTTCGCAGCTAAACCATGATTCACCATGTAGCTCTTCTCTTCGCTTTAATAACTCAGTGAATAACTGGTCCATGTGAGGGTCTTCATTCAAGCAAATTAAACTCAGCCAATCGTTACAAAATTCAGAAAACTTGACATAAGGGTATTTGTTTTGCTCGCTTCAGACAAATCCTGCTCCAGCAATTCAGTGCTAGTGTTACGGGCAGAGTCAATCGTTTTGAAGTCACTGCCGGCAGTTGTCCTCTATTTCACAGCGAGTGAAATGGAAAATTTGCGTACAGAAAGTTATTTCTTATAAAGAATAGAAAGTTTCACAGTGCAGTGGAAAACAAAACTATGTAATTAAAAGTGAAGAAAACTCTGACTACTTATAGTATTTGAGCAACAGAAAAATGATTCTTTTCTTCTAGACTAAGTTTACTGGCCTTCTACCGGTATTTCCGAGAAAGTTTTACGGCGCACAAAACGGTTCTTTGACTGAAGAGAAGGATAAAGCTGGTTCTACAAAGGGAATAAATCTGGGCATGTGAAAAAGTATTTACTAATTTAAAAAAAAGTGGGTTTTAATTCAGCCCGGCGAAAGAAGGCGAAATCAACTCACAAATAAATCGAATGAACAATCGAAAAAATACTCGCCTCTTTGGAAATGTTCAAAACTCTTTATTCCACCTCAGACTGACGGAATGATCCGTTTTTCCTTTAACATTGGTTGTTCCGAGTCCAAAGTAATTTTCAAGTGACGAAAAACAAAAACCACACAAAAGTAAAAAGGCTTTTCGGGGAGCAAACGTTCAAACCTTGTGCATTTCATTCAGTCTTAGTCAGAACTCTCTCAGTGACAAACAAACAAACAAGTGTCAACCTGGTGTCAACACACTTCAAACACTTCAACACACAGAAAAGCCCGCCTTGAGCCTGCGATAAGGGATGCGCAGAAGCTTGCGCAGAACGTTTTTCCGCCCTGAAGTCTGGGGTATGGGCCTAATTTATGTCGAAGTGATATAGGACTGGGACGAGCTACTGAATGCCCGCGAAAAAAAGAACGTGTCCGCCAAGTTGTCCGCCATATTTTGTAAACGTGTTTGTCTTGCGGAAATTTCTCAGATTCTTTTTAAATTTGTATTTCGTCTATTCGCTGACCCATTTGTCAGTTAAGGTAGGTGCATTGATTACTTTCTTTTGTCTCTCATTACGAAAAATTAATTGCAGTTCTGCCGGTTTAAGCCCTATTTCATAAACATGACCAGCCGAAGTAAGTTTGCTTTCACAGCTACGGAGAAATTTTCCTTCGCAATTGTTTGGCTCCGCTCAATGTTTTTCTATTGTTTTGATGTTATCATCCCGTTTAGATTAAAAGGTTTAGCTGCCAAACTTTGTTTTTGATAATATTGTGTGTACCTAATTCAGTTTGGAGATTTACAAATTAATCAGTGTAAGCTTATATATTTCTTTGACTACTTTTTCTCTTCATGTGCAGTTTAGGCGCTCCTCATTCATTCAACAACATCGTTTTCTTCAGTTTACGTAAAGTTAAGGAAAGATTAATTAATCCTATATAAACTTATGTTTGTCAAATAATATCGAGTATCGTGAAACGTTTTGATAATACGAGGCCAGCATTCTAGGCCTCTGAACGAGGTTTTTCCAAGTGAAACAAAAATATTGTTTTCAATGTTGTTTTGATTTTGTTTTGAACTTTGCCACATACATGTAAGCTTACTTTATGTTTCTGTAAATTTGCTTGTCTTGGCTACTCCGTGTTAGTGTACTTACAGTCATCATAAATACCACTTTTCAGCATGACACAAGTTGTGACAATTCAACCAACAACGCAGTCCCCCACGAGGGAGTGGAATTCTGGATTGTTTGCCTGTTTCAATGATATTCAAAGCTGTAAGTTAGCCTTGTTTTTATTAAAACAGTCTTGCTATCTATCCATTGATAATTATTAATGTTGACTGACAAATGCCCCGGCTAAAGCTTAAAGACTGTATAGGCGGATTCATGGTGACGTCATTGCTTACATTTTGCTCATTAGCATACGAGTTAACCCGTAAAAGATGTAGCCGTATATACTAATTAGGTTCAAAACTTAAAAGAGCTGGTTAGTTTATTCAGTTTGTGCAACTTTCAGCTCTTTGCAATCAGTAACAAAGAAAATTGCTGCAATTAAAAACTGCAAAATTACTGGGTGGCAAAACGTTAATGAGCTCATACATCTTTATAAATTTTGAGGTTTTTCAAAGAGAAATTCTCCGAAATTATTAGGTATATCCTGCTCAAATTTCAGAGATAACTGAAATTGCTATGCCCTTTCAATATTCAGAAATTTCGATTTGTTAGCTTCATCAGGTAACGATTAGCCTATGCTAATGAGGCAAAAAATGTAAACTAGGATTCGCCTGTAAGTACAGTCAAGATGTAAGATGGACACCTTCGGGACCGACCCCCACTGTCCGTTTTAGAGAGGTTCTTCGGCTTATAGAGAGTCAAGGTGACCTTACATCAGTTATTATAAGAAAATAAAGATGAACCTATTCCCAATGATTACACACCTGTTTTACTAGTGTAAAACAGTAAACTGGAACGTAGTGTAGTATAAAAAATGAATTGTTTTGTCATGTAATTTGTTTCCCCTACTTGCAATTTACAGTTATGTAGAACACCTACATTTACATTTTGAGGTATATTTTACCACACAAAGCACTTCTCAAGTGTCCGTTCCCGGTTTTAAATATGTTCCTTGTCCGTCTTACACTGGACGAAAAAACGGATTTACCTCTATAGCAAATTTGGAGCAAATCATCTGCAAATGCCACATTTGCTTAATTTTGCTCAATTTTGCCACATGACATAGGACCAACTTTGCCATAATTTTGCATCAGTGGCAAAGGTGGTAAATGCCGAATTTGCCTCAAATTTGCCCCGTGTGTAAAAACAAGGATAACCTTTACTTTATCAAGGCATTTACAGGGGTGTCAAACTTGATAGCAAAACTGACAATTGTCAGGTTTTTGCCCAAATGGGCAAAAGCGATCGAAGATGAATTTTTGAATGCTTTTGCTCTCTATAGCAAATTCGGTCAAAGTAGTAATTTGCCACATTTTTGCTCAATGTAGCAAAAGTGACCAAAACTCATTTTTCAACAGTTTTGCCCAGGATAGTAAATCTGAGCAAAAATTCACTTTATTTGTGTATCGCCCAGTGTAGTAAATGAGGACAAATTATCACTTCTTCCGTATCTTTGCTCAGTGTGGTAAATATGATCAAAATAGGCGTTTGCCACTGGTTTGCTCAGGGTAGCAAATTTGGCCAAATACCACTTTTTTCTCAAGTTTGCTCAGGGTGGCAGATATGATCAAAACAGTAGTTTCCCATACTTTTCCCCATTGTAGCAAAGTTCATCAAATATCAGTTCTTCTGTATCTTTGCTCAGGATGGCAAATATTGCCATGATAGCAGTTTTCCATACTTAAAGTAAGGTAAACAAAGTTGATTAAAATATCACTTTTTTACACTTTCACTCAAGATAGCAAATTTGATCAAAACATCATTATCCAGATGTTTCTTATTTTTATTTGGTACCATACATGACTCACAAACAATTAAGACACCAAACAAAATTTCAAGAATAAAATGACTTTATTATCTTTAATATACACTGTACAATAAAAAGCAAGATAAATTAAAAGAAAGTTCCATTGGCCTCTGCAGGGCACTGCATGTACCACAAAATATATGCCTTTAAATAAAAAGCACATACAATGTGAAACTATCTAAATTCATAAGTGTATAAGAATGTACATTGGGTTTGAAAGTGCAAGTCAACACTAGCTGGTTCATAATTATCTAAGGTTGGTACAGGTAAAACGTAACTCCATTTGAGTGGTATACTTCAAATATACTCTTTCTAGATTCAATTGATACTATTGGCAAATGGTTGTACGATGACAACAAGTACACATCACTCCCAATGTAGATGTGACATCCTTATTAACGGACAGAACATCAACCACAGGAAATAAAATTAGCCTCAAATTATTATGATAAGCGATATTCCTCTAATTATTATTTATAAGAACTTGTTTTCATCTGATAAATATTATCCACTACCCAAAATAGGCAGTGAATAATATCATATAGTGTACCTAGTGCTATTCACTTACCCCAAGGGGAGATACATCTGTATGATTCATTTTTAACCAAATCAGTTATATAAAAATATTTCTTGTAAATAAAATGAGTTACTATCTTTAAAGCTCTGTGCATTTCTATGATTTGGGTACGACTTTGATATATTTTTACCCAGCAGTAAACACTTATAAGGTTAATTTTGTCACCTTTTTAGCATATACATGTATTTTATTTTACAGGTGCTTTATTTACTGCTAAACCTCTAAAACTAGCATGAAATGACACCCCAATTTTACTCTCATCCTATAGGTAGCCAAAAGCTTTTCAAGTTATGAAAGCAAATCTGCTATCCACTGATTTGGTTAAATACTTGTATTATTATTATTATTATTATATCACTGTAAATAATATGATTTGGTGAAATTCTTGTATTATTATATGACCATAAATAATTTATTACATTTGTTTTTTTTACTAAAATCAAATTATTTGCTAAAAATTTGAGCAATTTTTTTCTGATTCACATGATCAGCTGTTTTGCTTGCGGTATTGGACTGATTAAATATCCAAATTATCCAAACACAATCTATACACTATGAAAGCTCTGTAGAACTTCTTTAATTCATCATCATTATTATTGTTATTGGCATGCAGGTGATTAAAATTTAAGCCATGCTTATCAAAAAACTGTTATCACACACGGTATTTTTTTTTGCATAAAACATAATTGCACTCTTTTTTCATAAAATATGCCAAGAACAAAATAGGATCATGGCATTTGGAGTCCAGTAATTACTCTACTATGGGGTGTATTGGCTACATTTAGTCCTCGGAGTGGCACTTTTTAAGGCAGTGCTTAGGGTAACCCTAGGAATCTGTCACCACTGTGGAAAGTGGATGCAGATGTATCTCCAATTACATATGTTGGGTGAATGGACACGATGACTGAAAATACAGCTGCATTTACAGGCTACTAGATGGACGGTTTTTAAAATTCAGTAAAGTTGCCAAGTTACAGAGTGATTCGGTGCAAACTAACAAGGACAGCTCTGCAAAGATGGCAAATTTTGCAGACATTTGTCTGGTAAGGGAAAGTTTGTGGCTCCACCATACCATACAAAGGTCATTGGGATTATGTGACTTTGTGTCAACACTTTATTTCAAATCGGACTAATCACAAACAGCGTAAGAACCTAGCCAATCACAAAACGCTGTCATACATGCATGTCTTTGTGACCCAGTGGGATTCAAACATGATATTGTGCACTAATTCTCAGACGGCATGCTCTATACAGAAGGTTTAGAGTGTCTGCAACACAGGCAAGATCTTCATGGGATTGTGACAAATCACTTTGACATTTGGTAATTTACCTAGTTTTAACGTGGCTCCTTCCCATGGGTGTCAAAGGATATTCATTTACTACATTGTAGGTCTTCATCAAAACTCAAAAAATTGTGCAATTGTCTACTGAGTAAATATGGTTCAAGGAACTTAACTGAAAAGGAACTGAATCATGATGCATGTCAACTTCAACTTGAGTGTTATTATTAGTTTGTACATTTTTATCTAAAATGTCTTCTTCTTTTCTGAATGTTCTTCAAAAAATTATCTGTGTTATGCTTATGATCAAGTTCCTTTTCTATTGTAAGTGGTGGGTGCCAGAGCAAACTCAGGAGCATCGTCTGGTGCTCCTTGATTTGATGCTGGTCTCACTGTGTGCTCTATTACCATTATTTTCACTTCATTGACTTTGACACCATGCAACTTTTGCGGTCCAACTGGGCCATTAAACCATTAACCTCAATGCTCTGCCAGGAAAGTGGCCTTACACAGAGATTTTCCCTGTTTGGGAGGTCCTCATCTGAACCTGAAGAATTACCTTCATGCCACTCTGATACAGCTGTTTCAGACAAAGACTCCTCTGATGACATATATGCAACGGACATACATGCAAGGTACTTGTCCTCGTCTGACTAACTGATGCTAGTTGACTCCCTCAGAGCATATTGGCCTTTTAATTTTTTTTCTGAAAGAAAAATGACGAACCATGATTTAGCAGCCAACAAGACATAGTAACCCACAGTTGGTAAACAAGCATATACTGCTCATACTCAGTGTAAATGATTGGGTTGCAGAACAATGACACGATGCTAAAAGCTGAAAACACTCTCTTAATCAAAGGAACAGTTTGAGGATATTTGTGAGAAAAATTTCTCCCTGCATTTTATTCCTACTAACTTTTTCATTAAATATATAATATGTTTTTTGGAACAGGTGTTAAAGTAGAGAGCAGAAATGCCTCTTTCTGTTGAATCTGCATTTGTTTCATTAAGACTCTTTTAAGTGTAAATAAAGACTGAAATAAATTAATTCCCCTGTCATTCAAGAGCAGAACTGATAGCGCCCCACAGGTCACCAGGCTCTAACAGAGCACAACCATGACTCAACTGTACACATAAACCGTAAAACCGGTCAGAACCTGAGAACGTAACATTAAGGCAACCCACATGTTGCTTAGAACAATAATTGATTAATTGTGGTTATTTGGCATGATAAAGCCAAAGCATTTACTAGCAAAATGAACTAACAAAGATCCCTCAACATCATTGAGCTGTACAAAAGGTATAAATAATGAGGTATTGTCGTTTAAAATGTGGAACAGTAATACAGTGGTCACTTGGAATGACACTTATGCTTCAGGATCTGGCAAGTGCCATCATTCGCAAAATGAGCCAAAATTAAGATCTCACAATATCACTGACCCATATTTATAAAGCGTAAGAGTTTTGGATGGTACAATTTATGAAAGAAGAATCACTTGTCATTTAAATATGGAACAATAATGTGGTGGTCACTCAGAATGACACATAGGCTTCAAGATCTGGCATATGCCGTCACTCGCAAAATGAGCCAAAATTAAGATCTCACAATATCACTGAACCATATGTATAAACCATGAGAGTTTTGGATGGTACAATTTATGAAAGAAGAATCACTTGTCATTTAAATGTGGAACAATAATACGGTGGTCACTCAGAATGACACATAGGCTTCGCTCGCAAAATGAACCAAAATTAAGATCTCACAATATCACTGAACCATATGTATAAACCATAAGAGTTTTGGATGGTACAATTTGTGAAAGAAAAATCACTTGTCATTTAAATGTGGAACAATAATATGGTGCTCACTCAGAATGATACATAAGCTTCAAGATCTGGCATATGCCGTCACTCGCAAAATGAACCAAAATTAAGATCTCACAATATCACTAAACTATATGTATAAACCATAAGAGTTTTGGATAGTACAATTTATGAAAGAAGAATCAATTGTCATTTAAATGTGGAACAATAATAAGGTGGTCACTCAGAGGGACACATAGGCTTCAAGATCTGGCAAGTGCGGTCACTCACAAAATGAAAAAAAATTAAGATCTCACAATATCACTGAACCATATGTATAAACCATAAGAGTTTTGGATGGTACAATTTATGAAATAAGAATCATTTGTCATTTAAATGTGGAACAATAATACAATGGTCACTCAGAATGACACATATGCTTCAAGATCTGGCAAACTTGTGCCGTCACTTGCAAAATGAACCAAATTAAGATTTCACAACATCACTGAACCATAATTATGTATAGATGTAAAACAAGAGTTTTTGACTGTAAAAATTTCAAAAGGGAAATCATTTGTCATTTTAAATGTAGTAGAATATTAAATAATAAATTATAGTGACCACTGCTTTGTCAAGTGCTGTCACCTGAAAAGTACAGTAACCCCAAAGATCTAACATATTAACTCAGCTGTACAACAAGCCAAATTTCTGAATTATGGGCATGCTAAGGTCACATCACCGACTTATATTGGTGTAAAAGAAATGTTTGCCTGCACAGCTCAAGATCCGGCTACTTAAGATTATTCTATTAATGAAGACGATGCGCAACAAAGAGTACAGTTATTTCTGCAGTAAACAAAAAGGAATCAATCAATGGCATATCTGTGCATGCATCTTAAATTTTAAGATTTATCTTAGAGGTTTTAAGCTTACGCAAAGTTATTAGAAAACCAAAGTAAGTAAACGAACCACGATATCAAGAAGAACATACCTTTCTGCAATCCAGCTGAGTTGATGACTTGGAAACGGGCTTTATGTGAAGAATATCGCAACTGATCACTGTCTCTCGAAGATAACAAAGGTATAAATCGTAATAGAACAGCTGAATAGAAAGACAGGCTTTCTATTATCCGAAAATAACAAAACTACTCGTTTTGCAACGCTGTATCGCTTGTGAAGTCCGCGTGAATTTGAACTGTTCAACGAAAGTTTATTTTACACTATTCTATTGGTTCAAAAGCCGCACGTGACAATGTAAATCAAATCGCGCATGTGCCAAAGTCACATGGAAGCCTGGGCAACAAACATGGCGGCTGATCTTGCGACGGAGTGCATTCAGGACTACATTCACCCGGACGATCAAACTCTGCAATCTACTATTGAAATGACTCCTGGGTTCAAACCTTTCACATATTGTGCATTTTGTTCACCCAAATTGTAAATGGTAACGTTTTACGTCAGGGCCTCCTATTCCGAGACTTCTTGTGATATTTTTTTTCCGAGCCACCGACACAGTATCAGGAAACGCATTCGACGCTAAACGAAAAAAAAGGGGGGATGGCCTTCCCCGAAATAACCAGCTGCAGCAAGTAATATTATAAACTTTGAGAAGAATGTGATGGTGATTGAAATGGAAAATGCAATGGAAAATCAAAACTTGCGTGAAATAACACTGTGAAGTTTGGTTAATGTGCAAACGTTGGTTAAAGTGGTCGTAAAGATAGTTCTTTGATCATATTTTGCTTAAATTTACGCCTCTAGTAACCATAAATTTACACATTAACTTTGCTATGCCAGAAAATATCAAGCAAACATTCAGTTTTGACGCTCGATTTTTACACACAGAACAAACTGGTGGCAAATTTGAATCTAAACACCAAATTTACTATGGGGAGCAAAAGTGAAACAAAATATCTGTAAACTTGATATTTACTCCACATTTACGCCACCCTTGCAGAAAAGTAAACTTTCACTTTCGAACAAAATTTGCACCAAGAACAAATAAGTAGCAACATTAGTACCCTAAATTTACAATAGATTTGCTCAACTAGCAAACTTAGGCAAATCCGTTTTTTCGTCCAGTGTTATAGAGAGTATAGTTACAGTAAAACGACTTATAAATGGCAGGGACCAACACCTGGCCCCAGTTCTTCAAAAGGTGGATTGCGCTGTCCACTGGATAAATCTCTATTCACTGGATAGCGCAGTTGGTTTCCCAAATACGTATTCACTGGATAGTGATTTATCCGGTTGATAGCGCTATTCAGCTTTTGAACAACCGGGGTGTCCATCTTATAGAGTGTCCGTTAACAGAGAGTTGACTGTACCGTTGATTTGACATGTAGGAACCTCAACTGCTAAAAATTGTATAGGATAAAGACTAGTAAAAACAAGGGATTCCACTTTATTAATGGCCCAGAAATCTGTCCTCAATTATTCATTCTTCTAATATCTTCGGATGGTTTTGCAAATTTGCTTTAACGTATCTAATTCTTTTGTAGTTTCTTCATGCAATGTTAAGTGAGTTTTTTAAAATTAAATTTGTTGTATGTATTGTTTTTTCTTTCTATCCTCGGCAAGGTCTGTGTGGTTTGTTTTGTCCAATGTGTTTGTTATGCGACATCTCCGGTCGAATGGGGGAAGGATGTGCTTATGCAAGCTGCTGCTGTGAAGTTGCACCATTAACACTCAGGGCCAAACTTAGAGCTGAACAGAGAATTCAGGTCAGAAATAGCTTTGCAGCTACCTGTACTCCAGTGATCCAGGCTTGGGGTTGGGGAAGGGGGGTGCGCAACACTTTATCTAGGAAAGGTACGTTTTTAATAAGGAGTTGGGCCGGGGTATTTTCGAACTTTTTGGCAAAAAAGGTCGTGGCCCTCCATTTCCTGAAATGGTTTGATGCATGACCCTTCACAAACAACCGCTCAAAATCATTTGACCCTCCCCCACCTATTCAACACAAGAAGAAGCGGAAGTTAAAATAACTAACCGAAAAACTAGACTGTCCGCCGGGACAAAATAAAGTGGACGTTGTAGAGAGGTGGACTTTGCTGGAGGTTCGACTGAAAAATCGAAAGAGTTTTGTTCACGGGCGTAGGTATTTCCCAAAGCTAGCTACAAAAATTTGATTTGAGAGCTTCTATTGAGATGATGTGATAGATCGAGTTGATCAAGTTGTCGCCGTAGCTTTAGCAAATCATCACCGTAGACTAATTTTATACCAGAACCCTGAGCAAAAACATTACCATGGTAAAGATATGGACGAAAGCGGCCAGAGGTTGAGAGAGACGATTATGTTAGTTGGAAGAAGATAGTAGTATTTTAATGGCATTTTTGATGTCAGCAAATAATTTGGATTCATCTTGACTAGTAGCTCTGCTTGTACGTACAAGTTTTATTTTTCGAAAGACTTTTGAATGCTTACTAACAAATAAAAGGAGTTGACTTTAAAAAACGCGACTTGTAGTATTTTTTCCCTTGCCGAAAAAAGTGTGATGCTCCCGTGGTTGCGAACAAAACAGGTTTGGCGCTCCCCAATTTGAAAACACTTCGTTTCACTGGCAACCCTCCCTTCTAAAGCCCCGGCCCTCCCCCACCCCTCGCCCCCCAATTAAAAACGTACCTTCCCCTAAAACCAGTAAATTTAATCTAAAGCTTCATGCAAACGGACGCAACATTGTTGGATGTTACATTTTGTGTCCCTTTGCACACCCTGTTGCGTGTTTTTGGATGTTCTTGAGCAAAGTTTGAAACCGCACGCATTTAGCCCAGAGCAAACGGACGCAACATTGTTGGAACGTTTGCACGTACAGTAGCTTAAAGATTGGAGTTACAGTTTTGAATTTAAAACTACTGTTTGTCAGCTTGAACAATTATCTGTTCTCTTTTCTCCAAAGAGATTTTTTTTCAAGTGTGCTGTTAAATAATATTTAAGTCAATACTAAGAGGTAAAGATCCTTATTTTTTATGTCGGTAACTCGTAACATGTTCTTATTAGCATGACAACGTTTAGGACGATGTTGGTTCATTTTATCGCTGTCTTTCAACCGGTACTCCATTTTACAGGTGTTTAAAGCCATATAAGGCTACACGGAAAGGAAAGAAGTCTAAACGCAGGATTTGAGCGCAGAGACCACACCTGGCAGGGAATAGAACTCGGAACCGCCCGCACAGAAGGCCGCGCTCTATCCGACCTAATCCTTCTTCCTGAAATACTTTTAAGTACAATTTTAAAAAATTATCAAAAAGTGTCCCTTTTGTCCGAGAATAGCATGTTTGGCAAATTCCATAGAGATCACTGTACTAATTGCGGTATTCAAGTCTTACCTTTTATCAAGAGAGAATGATCTCTCTTGCTTTTATCTTTTATTCCAGCTAACAATAGCAGTAGCTGTTTGAGAAGACGGTTGTTAAAGACAGTTTTTAAAGAAACTATGACTTAATTTTCAGGGCTCCCTGTGCAATGACGCTGTTGTTGTTACATTCTGTGGTACCTGCGTTTTGTGTCAGATGGACCGTGAACTCAAATCCATCGGAAAATGATCTGCAGTTTCAAGAAAAACAGTTCTTGTTTTATCGTTGTTACAATCTGTTGGAGAAATCCGCGCCCTTTTTGCGGCTTTACGATTGAACATAAACTTAAGATTTGGAGACTGTTAAAAGTGTCATGGTTTCTTCAAGTTTGGAATAAAATTCCCGTTTAGCCCACAAGTGACGTCGATACTCACGGTGTGTGCTTTGGTTGGATTATTTTGTAAGCGTGTTAATATTCACTCATTATGGTTCAGCGCTATAGCATAGTGAGATTAATTACGACGATTGGTAACCCTCTATGTTTTTATTATTATTTCATTTTATGGTTTCTTCCAGTTTTTGCTGAGAAATTTGACTAACAGGAACTTTATGTCTGTTCAGTTCCAGATGAATATTATGAATGTTCAGAGTCTAATAATTAATTCTAAAAGATGTTTAAACAGCATGTTGACTATACTCTGACAAGGTAATGGGTTGGCAAACCGAGCAGTATAGTTCTTAGAAACAAGGTTTAAAACAGGGGATCAGCCCTTTCCCCTACTGTACTTTACAAATCTTGCATCATTTTGGTTCCATTTGTTAAAAAAAATTAATTAAATAAATTGAATTACATTTTAACGTTTAACACCATTTAATTTAAAGGCATTTTTAAATAAATCTGTCTAAATCCGTATTTCAATATTTTGAAACGTGTTCAGAGAGGTCTCGGAGGCGAAATGGGGAAAAAGAAGCGAAAGTAACCCCAAAAAGTTACAGTAAGCACTACCATGTGGGTGTAGCATACTGAGGAGTTCTAACAAGAGAAAAAGACCTGAAAACGAGTTGGTAGAAATTATTTATGTTGATGCAATTTACTTTTACCAACAAACTCGACCGATCTTCCAGGTACTGCGGTCTTTGGTTATACCATGGGCTCCTGGTTATACTATATTTCTGGCCTCCCCTGAATCGATCGGCTTAATTTAACTTATTACACTTACTTTACAAATAAATATAAAACCGTCTTTAGAACATAGGGGTTCCTTAGCTTCAATCCACGTCCTCTAACAATAAATAAATAAATTAAGTAACGAAATAGGATTCATCCAGACGCAAGCTAGCCGGGAAGCCGGGGTCAATTTGATAAAACTTTTATAAGTGTAATTTACAAGTGTAGCTATTGTTTTCAGACTCTAAAACAATGGCTACACTTGTAAATTACATTTGTAAAAGTTTTATTAAATTGACCCCTGCTCAGTCCTGTTTACACTCTGTACAGTTTCAGATTTATTCTATAATTATAACCTTTGTTTTCGGTGAAAACTTTGCTTTCTTGCTTTTTTTCTGCGGCACGAATTTACGATACTGGAAGCATTTTTTATAATAACATAAAGTCACTATGAGAACAACGGCCAGAGCAATGAGAATTACTGAAACTACGCTATAAACAACCTTGGCATCCACGAAACCCATGGTATCGGCTGGAATTGAAATTCCCGTAGTTGCAATTTCTGTCTTATCCGTGTGCGGCTTCATCGTGATAGACAGCATTGTTTTAATAGCTTCCGTTGTCTTGGATCTCGGTTTTCCAGGTAACTTTTCGTTACAAGAAACTCCAGCCCACGGATCGAAGCAGTGACATTTACCGACATTGTTACACAAGCCGTGTCCCGAGCAGTTCTTAGGACATCGAGTTGTCTTTTTTAGAAGCACGTCCACGGACACGCATCTTCGGTTCAAACAAAGTTTTCCGTCACCGCATTTGGTTCCCTCGAGTGTCATCGCAGCCTCAGGCACGTCAAGACCCATCTTTAAGCTGGTTCCTTTACAAGTGATTGTTTCATTGCCCAAGGGCCAAAATGAACTCAACACATCTCGTTGAATTCCTATGACAGGTCGCTTACCAGTTGCGAGACACCATAATTTGCCGCATTTCGCGTCCTGAAGCTTGCATGGTCGGTATTTTCCTCTCCTCGTCTTCCGGCAATGGCCAAACTTATCGGCACGAGTGTTGTGATATCGATAACATTTATCTGGGCCTGGTAAGGTATCACTACCCCATAGGTCCCGACATTGCTTTTCATGGGTCTGACATTCTCCAAGAAAACAGTAGGCTGTATTTTTAGCACAAGGGTAGCCATTATGCACGTACAGATCCTCAGAACAAATTCCCGAAGATCCAGTACAAGTTTCCGGGATGTCGCATTCATTCACTTTCTCTCGGCAAATCGCTCCCCTCTTTTTAAATTTGCAGTCTTCACAGCAGGCGCCATTAGCACATTGCGCATGTGCGTTCAGTTTGCAGGTCACATGGTCACAACAAATGTCCCCTTTCTCTAAGCATTCTTGCGCGGTTCCACAATCACATTCCTCGCCGGGTGCTAGGATGCCATCCCCGCACACTGGACCTCCAAATAAGGTGTCTGGGACGTTGAAGAGGCATGTGCCAAGTCCTCGGGACAATCCCTCGTTAAGCCCTTTCACGCTACAGTTGCTGAAGATCGTGGCTGGCTCGGGACCCACTCGCGCGCTCATAACGCACCCACTAAGCGAGTTGGTCGCTCCACACACGCAATGAGGTAAATCCTCATCGTGATACATGCCGAAAATGTGCCCAAGCTCATGCGCAAACGTGTTGGCCGTAAACGCGGCATTGATATTGTAATCACGAATCACACCCGCCGACTTCCGTGAGCAAATGGACATAACCTGTGCTTTGCCTCGCACAGAATCCTTCAGCTTAACACCCGTCAAAAGCATCCCAACATCATTCGGATGCTTTTCACGTAGTTTTCTTTTTCTGTATTTTATCAAGTTTGACAAATATGTATCCGCATCTTCGTCCGCCTTTACCATGTCCGCCACGTCCCAGGTTTCTATGGCAACTAACGTAACACGCACATTAAGGGGTCTGAACATCGCATCCACCATGTTGACTATCTGCTTGGCGCGCAAATTGGTTTTAGTAAGGTTTTTACCAGAAGCTTCAAACTGCTTGTGATCATTAATTACAACTATCTCAACATACTTTGTTTCGGTGAAGACATCTCGACGAACTCTTTTATGAGCTTTAAATCTGGACGAACTATTGTAAAGTTGCCATTGGCTATTTATCACTTCTAACTCATCCTTTTTTAAGCTTTGTTCAGTTAAATCAAATTCACTGACATTGAGATCTTTGATTCTGTAATACAAATGGATTTGGCTGTCTGACAAGTCCCCGTGTGGTTCTATATAGTAAGATATGTGCCCATCGTAAATCAGGCCTTCAATTCCATCACAAGTACTTAAGGACACCTTCGACCTTTCGCTACCCCTGACGGTACCGTGGTAAAAGCAGTAATTGGCGCCCTCGTTAAAGCGTTCTTCTTTTTCCATGTAATGCGAAGTAAAAAGCCCGCGGTTTTGATACAAGTCCAGCTTAAATTTTCGTTGAAAGGCTGTAAATGTTATCTGTACTTTTATACTCGACGCTTCGCTCTGGAAAATAAAGAATAATTCACAAATTTAGCTGATGGGCTCCTGCTGACATTGATTCAAAAAGTAAGCTGCCGCCGTTTTCAAAAAGCTTATTGGTTGCTGACTGAGTTACAGAAATGCATGTGCAGAGTTAAAGTAACTCCAAAAAGAGTAAAATCAACCCATGTAAGGAGTAAAAATAACCCCATTTTCGGACTGGTAGTAAAAAGGACTTTTTTTCAGAGTAAAAATGACCCCAAATTTGGAGATAAATTAGGAATAAAGCCCCCCAAAAAGGGGTTATCCTGAACCAGGAGCCCATGGCTGAACCTAAAATTTTTTCTACATTTTTGGAGTTATAACAACTCCCTAAAAATTACTGTGTGAGTAGCGCTACCACGCAAAACAACTCTTGATATGTGACGATTTCGCCTAAAAGCCGACGATTTGATGAGAAACGCGCGACGCGGAAATCGACGTGCGCAGCAGTACCCATACTGAGGCTAAGGTGTGGCTCACTCACTTACCAGATACCCTGAGATGTGTTTTAAAAAAAACCAGCACTGTGGTTTAAATGCCTGATAGCCAGACCCAGTAGTAATGATTAGTTGAGTCAAATAAAAAGAGAAATAACAAGCAAAACTACTTAATGAAAGATGAAAGAACACTTGAAACATGTTGTTTATGAAAAGCATAAGTGAAAAGTTTCCCTAGTGTCTACGCTAGGAAACATAACGTTGCATTAGTGACTATCATTTTTTAATATAGAAGTCAGGGCCGAGTTGTTAAAAGCTAGGAGATTTGAATTCAGATTTGAAAGGTTAAAAGGCATTTCAGTTTTAATTATTTTTGTCTACAAGTTGATGATTGAGAGCTCTTAAAATAACAGAGAAAATTATCCGAGAAAATGCTTTTGAACACAAGAAAAGGAAACCAGGGTTAAATTTAACCCTGGGTTGAGCTCTAATCGGCCTTCGAACAACTGGACCCAGTTCTGTAGCTAGGGGTTATGACAGTTAAAGCACAGAATTGCGGTTTTAAGACTAAAAGTAACTTTTAAAAACCTATAAAAACTGTCAGTGCCAAACCGTGCTGTTTATTTTGATGTACAAGGGGCTTCTACATTAAGCCTAATTGTATTTTTCCTGTGGTGCTGTTTGTTACTGATTACGCCACAGAAGGTGTTTCTAAAACTAGATAGATAGCTTTATGGAGTATGTGTGAAATCCCGAAGCGTGACTATTCAAATAAAAGCTACTTTTTCAATACTGAGCAGTAGTTTCTGATGATGGTGGGGCTTAATTGTGGTATTGTTTTTTTTATGCTGTGTATAAAACCGTTTGCGTCTATGGATGAAATCAGTTATGAAATGATGTAGAGATGTAGCGTGACCGTTCAAGACAGTACTTCTCTTGTAAACTTCTTATAAGGGACTATTCACCCATGAAACCCAACGTAAAGCGTGACTGATGCAAATAAAAGCTCACATAATGTGTTTTCCTTACTTTTTGATGGATTTATATTTTAGTTCGTAATATGTCTTTTTCCACTCTTCGCAAAAAAAAAAAATCGCTTAATGATCTTACTAAGAAAACCGCCGCTCTCTTATTGGCTGTCTCAAGTGCTGAAAATAATATCGTAGCTCAATAATTTTCGGAAACACTAATTCCACTTGCGGTTATAAAAATATTTATATTTCGATGGTCTTAAAATCACTTCGTACCAATCATACCCTATAAGAAAAGACTTTTAGTTATTTAACCAAGCATACTTAGTGTACTAGCCTACAGCATTCCCTGTAACTATTAAACGCTGAATGGATCGGGTTATTTACACAGACTTAAGCTCGTTCTTAGACGATGCATAATGTAAACAAATCTATTTTATAACTATTAAGACCTCCAGCTGAGTGCTAGAGTTATAAATTGCATCCCTACCAGTTAGTCCGTTCTGTTTTTGCAAATTACTCTTTCGCTCATGTACTTTGCTTAATGAAAGTAAACATGTTAAATGTGACTAAATTCACGAAAACAAACAATAAAACTCTTTGATGTGTCATTTCTGTTCTTTCAGCGACTAGCAAGTGTCAGAGAATTACATCCGGTTAAATAAAACGCTTGGCCAATCGTATTATGAATATTTTATAGCACTCTTTGGCTACTCCATATACCGGTTCAATTCATGTTTCATCCCTTCCTTTTGTATGTAAAAAAAAGGTTTTTGTTTACACAGAACAAAATTATAATTAAGGAATTCGTATTCAAAGTAACATCAAACTTTTGCAAAATTCCATTTGCAATTTTATTCAGTTTTCCACAGCTTTCAGGAGGGTTCCAGGGGCCGGCGAAACTCATAAATCGCGTGGATGGATCTCAGTTGTATTCACAAGTTGCAGAGTAAATATTATTGTTTTCGCTGACGAGGGATATTATACTTGTGACGACCGAACAAAACTAATACTTCTCGCGAATCCTAAATGAAAACGTGAACATCGTGAACGGAATTCTCGTCTGGTTTCCTAGGTTGAAGTAACCCCCCATAAACCAGCCCGGGGGTGTAAACAGGATTAACGAACGTGATTCAGATCGTGCTTAATGGCATAAAGTAGGCAAGGTCTATCTATTACCTTCAAATCTATAGTTTGTAAAGATCAGCTCTGAAGTACTTACTCTTTGATTTGCTTCATCCAAATCTCGTCGATTCCAGTTCTTGGTTTTTCCGGCGGATTTGATGTATTTTAACCGGGGTATAACGAATTGAAAATCTAACCGATCTAGTTTTGTCAAGGCCAATCCGTCAGACAGCCAGCTGCGGTTAACGCTGCTCTTCTCAAAACTAATCGTTGGGTGTATGACCAAAAACTGAAGCACCCACAGCGGAAACAAAACCACTGTTACATCCATTCGAGAATCGCTGCTTCGACGTTGATCGCTCTCTCATAAACAAATGTGTTTACTGAAGAGAATCGATGAAGGTCAAAAACCAGTGACGGAACTAGAGTCATATGCAGAAATGTGAATGCTGCCTGTTATATACTCGTCAGCTGCAAAGTATCTTTCGTAATGTGAAACGAGCAGCTCAATATGGTCTCTTTCAGATCGCAGACTTAGCGAAACAGTCATCCCTTCTTACGTTTCAAACCTGAAAATTCCATCTATGAATCGTCTGATTCGCTGGCCGGAAATTGTTGACAAAAAAATGTTCTTCTCACGCGCCAGTCACTGTCCTTCGCTGCCTTATGACCTGATTTAATAGGACATAAATTCAAATTTTTAAAAGCTTGTTGTAGGCGGCTTGCTATTAATTACGCTGCCAAAGCACTTTCACATAATGAACATGCCACTCCAATAGCATCGACGAAAGAACTGGAACAAATTAGCGAGATAAAAAAGGAGAAAGCTGTTGTTATAGGTGACCAAGAGTATCCGAAAGCTGAAAATCGACTGTGAAACTAGTGCCGATTTAGCGATAAAAACTGATTCATCTTCTGTTTGTTTATATTCTTCCGTTGGTAATTGGTTTGCACTTAATCTTCTCATTGTCTTAGGAGCCCAGAAAGATCAGTATGCTAATATAATAAAAGGGAACAACGTTTTATTTAGTGGAATCAGCTCTGACTTGGAAGTTTACATTAAAGTTTACATCATTTTGTCAGTGACTTTCGATCAGATTCTTATCTTGTTGATACAGACACCTTTAACAATCCATTAAAGAGCAACATGCTGTGCCAACGATCTGTCACACGCAGCTCACCGAAACTGTCTAATTATTTGCTCACTTAGTCGTAATAGAGCCATTGTTGTTTGTTTTTAAAATTATGGGTAGCAAATTCCGCCGATCGTACAAACTGCATTCATTCGTCAGGAAGCTGATGTGGCATTACCAAGTTCATAAAAGGATCTACATAAAACCTTTTTTCATAGTTTCCCGAGCTTGACTTTGGCTGACGCGATAGTTTTTTTTGTTTTTTCACTTCACATTTTCCTAACATAGCTTTCTTTGTAGACGGAAATAGGTGCCCTAAATTAACCGGTTCCCGCTTAAAATATTATGAAATGCTACTACTTCCACATTTTTTGCGTCCTTCACAAGTTTCGCTCTTGATCTCGTGTGAAATAACCACAATTCAACTTTCAAACGATGAGCCTTATTTCATTTCCGTTAGGATAATAGCGTACAGTTGGAGCTCTCCGCAACGTCTATTTGCCATGGGCGACAGAGTGAGAGGGCTATTATAGAAACTGGACCGCCATATTGGAAGTAGACACCATTTTTGGCGCTTGGGAAAGGAAAGACAGATCACAGCGAGGATCACTCGGGTCAAGACGATAAAATTTATGTTTTTAATATGCTTTATTTTAGTAGAAGTTATTAAGGTATCCGATGAAACATTTACCAAATCTTAAGTATAAGAGATTTATCAAAACAAAACGAGTCAAGGAACAGTTTGTACATTAGTTTGTAAATTGACCTCTTTCGAGTTTTAAAAAAGTCTGTGAAAAAGTTTTGGCTGTATGTCAGTGACGCACTGTACTGAAAGTCGGTCTGGCTTTACAGCCGGTTCAGGAGAGGTGGTGTTGTCGGTTAAAAAAAAACCGGAGTGAATATAAGGACTGACCGTGGTAGAAAGGTGGCCCCTAGTAGAATCTCGATGGTATTATTCTATATCACAGTTACACCAAGGCTAAATTAAAACGCATTACTGAGAAGCATGGCTAAGAGTGCAAATATTCGGTGTAGTATAGTCGCGCGCATAAGTGTTGCGGTCGCAATTGCTTACCGCTTGCTCGGAAATGCTTTTGAATTGGTCAAAATATTCTTGCGTCCAGGACAAAAATTTCATGCGCAGCGCAACAAATGTTTCATTTTTTAATCACATTAAATTAAAAGAAACGATGTTTCCGCAGCAATACTTCCTAGTTAGTGATCATGCTAGAGAGCACGAGCACCCACCACCATCCCACTTCATCGGGATCATTCCATTTCATTAAATTTCTCAAACTTGCCCTGGATGGGCACTTTCTTGAGACTGGAGTAGGCACATTCAAGCCTTCAGCCAAGGGAAAAAAAACGAAGAAAGAAAATTTGCCGCCCTGTCAAATTGCGTCCACATACTGGGACGCCGCATTTTTTATTTCAATTTATTAATTAATTTTATTTCAATAAATTATTTTAACCAAGTAATTTTTTTTCTTGAGCACTCGCAGAGTCGAACACAGTTGTGCTGTAAACCTCTTGCTCGATTTAGACGAGAAAAAGCTGACCCTCTTTGGAGTAAATGATGTTGCATATAATCATGGTTTTAGCCTTTTTTGACCTTTTCGACTGAGAATCACTGGAATGTAGAGCGAATATTTAGCATGAAATGAAGCATTTTTTAGATCCTTCTTCGCGTAGGTGCACTGACTTGGTTACCGATAACATACAAAGTGATTCCGGTATTATTACCTTCTGCTCATTAAAGACGTTTTTATCTTTCGATCGTTTATGGAGAAAAACCTTTGCCCTGCGACATATTCCAATCTGAGTGTGTACGTGTGAGGATGATTAACTGCTTCAACAGCTAATTGAATTACCCCATGCAACGCTTTGACTGAAGGGCTTAAAAATGTATTAGAAAGTCAGCGACAAGAGAGAAGAAAGATGAATAGCCACTCAATTTCGTCTATATTTGATTGAAGGATTGTTTTATCTGATCGATCCATATTTGCTTAGCAAAGTGTCTGTGCAATTGCCATCAGTAGGCTTGTCTGGGCTAGCCACCCGTTAGATTGTCCATCAAGCTTACAATATCGAATCCGTTTAAAAACCTTCCTAGCTTGGCCAGCAAAATGATTTCGTAAATTCGATATGAAAAACGTGGGAAAAATGCATCAAATTATTTGGTGCTCAGATGTTACGCGGGAATTCAAGTCCAAAGATGACAAAGATCTTTTGAAATACTTCTTATCACTTTTACGAGATGTGAAATTTACTTTTATTGGTTTACGATCAATATAAGCGTGCGTATTAATAACCTTAAGTACCATCTAGAGCCCCTTATAATCCGTCTATTATCGCGTGCTTATGGTTTAATATACATGACACGCCTCCGCATTTCCTAAATGTCCCCTAGAAGTGTCTTTCTTGTTTGAAAGGGATTACTAATTTTTCCAAGTTTACGAACTATACACTTCCCTCCTATCCATCGAGACAAGATGAAAGATAGATTTCTTTTATTTAAGTGGTAACTGCAATTTAAGGAGTCTATATGGTCCGAAAAGCGTACCTCCGATCGTACAGTATATCGCGTGTCATACTACAGTATATGTTTCATAGTTGTCATAGTTAACCAGGCTCATAACGGAATGGTTCTCAACTTCAGACAGGAAAATGGCTTAGTTCAGACATAAAGCTTTTTTTCTTTTTTTTTTTTCTTTTTCTCCTCCAGCGATACTTAATGATCAATAATTCTGCCTGGTCCAGTTTTAGTTCAAATAACTCGATCATGTATTTTGGCCTCAAAACTGCAGTTCTGGTATTGCGGACAATGTATAAGCTATCCGTAAAATCTCGCGTGCGTGAGGACGAGGGCTTATCTGTCACTATAAGTGCCACTTATGAACAGTTCAATTTTTTCTTAAAATTGTAATCTTCCCAGGAGAACCCCACGGATATCGGCAAGCTAGTCCAGTTTGTTTTTTTCCCGGTGGAGGGGAATTGTGCCAAGAGTACCGGCGGGGATAGGAAGGAGACTCTTCTCAGTTCCCGGCCGTGTTCAACTAAGAGTAGCACGAATACCAGGAATTTGCGACCGAATGGTTGGAAAATGTTATAAACTCTCGAAATTGAAATCTGTATTCGTAGCTGCGTTTATTTATATAGAGGGTTGTTTGTCAAAACTTCATGTCGTACTAAATCACAGAATCAAATACATATTGTTATCCGTGTTAACACAAAAAAGCTTATTTGAGGTCGTTGAGGAAGAGTCCCGAAGGCAGAGAATAGCAAAATTTCGAGAGAATTCTCTGCCTATCCGTCTCAAATTTGTTGCTCATATGAGCCACCGTAGACAATACGTTTCAATGTGCCTGATCTAGCTGGATTTTTGAAAACGTTGCTGAAAAGGTAGCCAATATGAAAACTAACAGTGCAACCCTTGTTTTTTTTCTCTTCTCCAACCTTGGCCCAGGGATTTTGCCTTCGAAAAATGGGATGAAAAGCCCTGGACCGAGGTCGTTCTCTTCTACTCCTCCCTTTCATTTTCCTCGCTCTTAGAATTTTCTTTCCTTCTCCTTCGTTAATGTGATTTTCGGCCTTATCATCGGACGCAAAAAAACTGCCTTTTTGCCCTTTTCCCATCAATTGGCAGGCAAATTTTTCTCAGTTCGTTTTCGAAAATCCAGCTGGATATAAATTACATTACCGTAGAAGTACCACAGGTTACCCAGGCTCAAAATGCTTATCGACAGCAATTAAAGCCGTGTACAGCTATTTCATAAAGAGGTCAGTATTTGTGTTGTTTTCTTATTATTGTCAGTTTCTGCCCTATGAACGCCATTTTAGCAAGTTTCAAGGTGAGAACTGCAAGAACATCAAAACATGCTAAAATGGCGTTCATAGAGCAGAAGACGAAGAGAAAACATCACGAAGACATGTTTTATTAGACTCGAGGTCGATCTGTTGGGAGCTTGGTTTCCCTGTGGAAATACCCTGCGGGCACTGAAGGTCCCTCAATCTCGAGTAAGAAGCCGGAGGATCTCAAATCCTTATGGAGTCAATGGAAGAATGGTGTTTGGACGTGACCAGAAATCAACCAAGAAGTGCACTCAGTTCCCCCCGCCCCGGGATTCAGATTTGATGCAAGAAGTCGTGTGCCACTCATCCTTTCGAATCGTTCATTGGTTGCCCTTGAATGCATCACTTGAATAGCGGGGTTGTCAAAGCTGTGATTGGATAAAACAAAAGAGCAATTGCGGCAAATTAGCAAAGTGATCATATTGCTAAACCGACTAAATCCAGCATGATCAGGAAGGAGTCAGGAAACCGAATAAATTTCGTGCGAAAATGGACAACGTCGAATGCAGGGAATACTTTCCCGCTTAAACTTTTTCCGCAAGAAGTATGATGGAATGCGGGACTTCTGCTGACGCCGCGTGGCTTTCGATCATATCCGTGTTAGTGGCTTTCCAGGTAGGCAGCTATATCTAATTAATTTTATTATTTTGCCTTTATAAACGAACAAACCGTAATAGTTTCTGTCACGGATACGCTCATTACAGATTCAAAAGACTATCAGCTGTTCTAGTCCCTCGAGATCAAGTTTGCCGGTGCAAAATGTCAGTTGTTATCAATATTGTACCTGGGAATCTTTGTCTGATTGTTAAGTCGTTTACAAAGCGATTCTTTGTCACCATTTTGGCCGGGAGCCATTACGATTACCTTGTTATTATTTTATCACTTTATTCATGGTCTGCGGGTGGTATAAATAAAACCCGGATTAAAGAAATTGCAGCTGTTTCGTTTTGCCGGTGTCAAGCATTATATGTGTAATTGATCCAGACAAAATCTTACTTCTTGTTTTGCGCAGTAGACGTTAAAGTCGAATGTACCTCGAAGGTATTTTAAAACTATTGTACTTTCTTTGTTGCGTTGTGTTGTGTTTTACAGGGATTTAGCTTCGCTGTTTATCAGGCAGGGACTAGACCTTACAATTCTTGGAATCCCCTTCTTGTACACACCCTTATAAACTTCGCTGCTGGATCAATTTTATGGTACTCTGTTGGATATACAATATCATTTGGAACATCGCAAAGGGTAAGAAACTTGGCCGGGGGGGGGGGGTGGCACTCCCTTATTTGGCCTACTAAAATACAGGTTACAGAATGTGCTGCTGTATAGGGTATGGTTTTCAGTGTCTTTATCTTAAACAGGGTATGCAATTTCATTTGGTACCTTACACAGGGTGGTTTTTTGGGGGTCAACAAAGAGCGTGAATGTTGGTGATTAATTGGGTGGTCTCTTGTTTTAATCAGGGCAGCAAAATGAACAATTTGTGTCTTAAACTGGGTCAGGGTGAGAAAACAACCGTGTCACGCCACCTACATATACTCCCAGTCTGAGGATATAATTTGGAAGATGGTAGCCTGTAATAATTCTCTGAACCTCTTTTTGAAGCAAGTTACATAACTTGCAATTCCCTTTCATCCAGTTTTTGGTTCTCTGAAATGATATGCAGTCTTTGCTGAAGGGAAGCAAAAATACATGCATTTTTTGACAATATAAGCCTAAATGGTGTTGCAAGAAAATTTTCTCCTCTTTGACTCTTTTCAGCCTGAGGTGAATTCATGTAAATGGATGTACACTCTGGGGTAATCTGGCTGTGATGGACTAGACTCTTAATTAATCTTCCAGCGGGGAGTTAGCAATAATGCGTCAATCTCTTGCATGCTAGAGAAACTAGGGGGGCTCTGATCGAGTTGGCCTCAATAATAATAATTAGTTTGCAATTTACCATTTTAGGGTTTAATTGGTAGTCTTGATGGTGCATTCTTCTTGGGTGTGTACAACAACTGTTCATTGCAACAGGATTCAGTCCCAGCAATTCCTTTTGCAATTTTTGAACTGATGCTTGCTATTGTCACGCCATTTATGTTTCTGTCTGCTTGGTAAGTGAAATAACTATAAACAACCCTTATAGTCACTCTACTCTAAGTAACTATTAATTTAATTATATACAGCCTTCTCCCCCGTATATCTGCAGAATCCTTCTGAATTATATCTATCAATATAGTGGCATTCCCATGGCCATTAATTTGCCGAGTGATTCCCTTTGGTTGTTGTTGTTTTTTTTATGATCACAAATTTGTGAGCTGTAGAACAAGACCAGGGGGTACTCCCTAATTTTTTGGCCTAACTGGACCAGCTGCTGTGCTTAACGGGGTATGGTTTTGGGGGGCTTAGTCCTAAGCAGGCATAATGGGCATATAATTTCACTGTTAGCATCTTGAACAGAGAATTTTTCTGGACCAGCTGTTGCCTTGAATAGATTTTACGTGATGCCTGGTGTGATCTAGAGAAAGGCCATTGACTCCAAGTTAAGGAAATTTTTTACTTTGAAGAACAGTAAGACTTACTCATTTTAAACAGGGTTGGCAAAAGGAATGGATTTTGTCATATACAGGGTCCTCAGTTGCTTACCCAACATAGTTTTACGAGGCTCCGCCTGGAGATCCAACCCCTTACCCTTTCAAGTACCATTTTTGGCAGAAAAGGTTCCACTAGCTTTCATATACAGTACCTGTCACTGAAAACTGTACCCCTCCTCATCAACTTGTGAATCAGCTGAATTCCCTACCCTTAATTTACGTATTATAACTGAAAAAGGTACCCCTAATTGTATTTGTTGTGGTTCGATTTTATCCTTGGTTTAGATTTTATTTTCCTTCATTTCAAACTCATTATCATACATTGCCATACCCCAAAACAAGGGAAACAAAATTTAAACCAAGGATAAAATAATTGAACCACAACATAATTATACAGAAAGTATGATGAATTTTCTTTTGATTTCCTCTTAGGGCAGAGAAAATAAGCATACTTGGTGCACTGGTAAGAACGAAAAATTTCTTTAAATCATTAATATACCACAGTCTTGAGAGAAAATTGAGTAATATAATTATTATGGGCAGACTCTGTTTTTTTCAGCCAGTTGGAAAACATTGGAATACCAGCTAGTAAAGATCAGTTATTTCAAACTGATCCATTAATTTTCAAATGATATTTAATTTAAATAATTTATGTTCTTTATAGATTGTTTACCTGTTGTGGCCAATCTTTGTGTACTACCCCCTCACTCACTGGATTCGAGGAAAAGGATGGCTTCATGACAATTTTGGTGTAGTGGACCAATCAGGAAGCTTGACTATTCATACTTCAACAGGTAACACTGACTATTAGACCAGAACCCAATGCGAAAGATTGTCTCTTCCCCCATGAGACTACATATAGACTTGTAAAATTATCTAAGGACCAAAAATTACCCAGGATGTTTTGTTGCTATTATGGGGTGTCATAACATGTTCTTTTTCCTCACAAAGAAAATTGTAGTCTGTACAATAATGAAGTTGTTTTGGAGCCCAAAAAGAACACCTGCAAAGTGATGTACCATACAGCTGTACTCCATACTCTACCTGCATTGTCATTGTTATGACTACTTTTTTCTTTCCCCAAAGCGTTTATCACCCATACATGAAAGGGAATATCTGGAAAAATTTTGCTTGTGGAGTCCAGAATACTGGGCTTTGGAATCCGGAACACTTCTCAGGGAAATCTGGAATCCCTCTAAAGATTGGAATCCAGAATCCAAGTTCCCCTGACAAGAAGTGGAATCCAGCATCCAAGACTGTCTTGGATTTCCTTACATGAGGCAACCAAGAATTCCGAGGAATAATCTATTTCTGTTTGCGGCTTTCAGATTCCTAGGAATTCCTGGAAATTCCATTTTCCAAATACCGTGAAATTTGACACCTCTGGTTCCTAGGAATTCTTAGCTCCTGAATTCGCAAGGTTTATTAATAAAAGGCATCCTAACCCATTTGATCCAGTCTCAGGATTGTTACCACCAATGACCATGTCATTTTTGTCGCATTTTAGATCCATTTTACCTCCTTATAACGACCAGTTGAAGCAATCATTGAGACAAAAGCGATGCTAATTTTTGTTGAAAGACATTTTAAAAACATAGATTAACATTTCATTGGTGTGTGTGATATCCAGCAGACTGTACTGTACTCAGTATAGCCCACATTAAACTTTTACTGATGTACATGTGTCATCACATACAGTCATATAGTTCAGAGAGGCTTTAATATCATGACACACTACCCCCATCAAACACAGCCACCCCGTTAATACAATTTTTTAGCCTTGAAGTTTGTGCAAGGTAGCCATGAGCCAGTCCACTGTACTCATGAGTTAACCATAACTCCCTAATGTGGTCTAATATTTTAAGATATTCAAACTTTTTGTAAACTACTCAGGTATTCAGCCCACACAAAATAGTTTGTTTACTTGCTTGTATAATAATTATTTTGATATTAATTTTAATTATACATTAATAAAATTAATATAATTAAACAGGTGTATTGAAATACACCTGTAATAAACACTCCATTCTCAATATGTTCTCTGATTGGCCTGTTTTTACATAACCTTCATTTCTCACCTTTTAATAATTAACAGTATCTTGTTTTCTGTTTGGTCTTGTTAGGTTGTTCTGCTTTTGTCTTTACTCTCATCCTTAGACGAGTGCACAAGAATCTGCTAACAAATAAAAATCATGACCAAAGTGTAGAACAAAGACATTACCAAGATGTTTTGCTTATTACTGGAGGACTTGTCTCCTCTCTGGGATGGTAAGAAAAAAAACTGAGTACTGTCAACCTCTCTTGGCACCACAAAAAATGCGAAGATTAGTGGTTGCTCATGGGTGGTGGTCACTTGCGAGAATCAAACCACAGTGGCTCTCTTCTGAGAAGAAGTCCTAACACATCTTCTTTTAAGCAGATAAGTTTTTGCATGCAGTTTCCAAGTTACATATTTGTGTGTGGCCATGTTGTCACTGAAAGCTCTTATACAATGAATGAGTGGCATTAAAAGTACATACAGCAAACAAAGAGACCATAATTCAAGTGTTCACTCACACTTTCCCATTACTATTATATCTGGAAGTATGTGTCTTTTCCCCTCTCGAGAATCTGTGCCATTACGGTCAAGGGAGGTCAAGCGTACCCCCCAAGATTCTATTAATTAATTGATTATTTGAAAAATGAATCCGTTAGTCCTTCCCGCAAGTAATGTCAAATTCAAATTGGCTTTCCTGCATGCATAATGAGCAGTGAATATTTTAAGATAACTTCTCTGTATTTGGTCAGATCGAAAATCTTTGAATGGATTAAATTTCTTAGAACACATTTGCATGAAACTGAGGGAAACTGAACTGGTAGAAAATCCATAACTGCCTTGAGTGTGAATTCATGATTCATTACACATGCAAGAATGGAGAGGTGAATCTGAAATCTACAACTACCAACGCATTCAACTTTTGAATAATAAATTCATTAATGGAATCTTGGGGGGTACACACCTGTCTTGACTGTAATGCCAACAACCACTTATTATTATACATTGTACTCACTATCTGTCCTCTCATTGGCTAAGAGCCTATGGCTTATTTTGGAAATTAGCGCAACCTACAGATTATTAGATAATGGACTAATCTGTAGGTTTTGTGCATTGCTTGATTTCCAGTAGCAATATTCAGGTTCCTTGCGGCGGTGTGTTTGTCAATATTTTCGTCAAAACAAAGTATAATAAAACAATTATTAGATTCGGTTTTTGTGATATCCTTAATAATCAAAGTCTTGGTAAGTGTTAACAGCCTCGGCCTTCGGCTCGGCTGATAACACTTACCTCGACCTTGATTATCCCAGATATCACAAAAACCTCATCCAATAATTGTTTAATATCAATCCATGTTTCTCACAGGTATGCTATAAATGTTGGAACTGTGCACAAGTTTAATGATGCTGCTGTTGTTTCTCTTCTGACCTCTCATCTGTCAATCTGTTCATCTTCACTGAGCTGGCTGCTTGTCACATATCTAACCAGGAAGAACTTGAATATGGCCGATCTGCTGCAAGGCATCACAACTGGTCTTGTTGGTAGGTTTTCTTCCCTGGGGGATGGGGGGGTACACAACAAGGTTTTATACGGGGAGACTCCGCCCTTACCCTTTTGTATAACATTTTTGACGGAAACGGTACCCCTTTTGTGTACCTCCTATTGACAAAATATATTAATTAATGGTATCCCTTTCACATACCTAGTTTTGAACTTTGCATCCCTTTTAACTGTTGTAAGTGCCCTGTCTTTGAAATACAGTGTGTATGAATAAATCACAAAACCAGAACGTTTTCTTGACTTATTCACAGACATAAAATGCATCTGTTAACCCTTTTGGGCCAAGTGGATGAAAATGCCATGATTGTGAGCGTTATTTATCACCCAAGATATTAATAGGTAATCAAATGGTATACGCATGAAATTAGGAAATAATTTCACTCGTCACCATTTGATTACAGATACTCACAGTTACTTGTTAGTGAATTGTAATCGTTGTTGTTTTCTTTTCTCTTTTTGTTCGCGCTAGGTGTAAGCGCCTGTTCCGGCTCCATAGACGTCTGGGCTTCCCTGATAATTGGAGTCATCGTAGGTTCAATATCATGTTTTGTTTCCTTGTCTGTTAAGAAATACAAGCCATCATGGACTACTTATAGCTCGGGGAGGCATGATATCACTTATGTCCATGGTGTTCCTGGCATACTTGCGGCAGTGACAGGTATTTAGTATTTATGTTTTATTTTAATATTTAGGAAACAGTGAGGATCATGTTATCAGGGTGTCAATCGTGACGTTGTATACATTTTATCTGTGTGTGATTTGCTGACCCATTTGAAGGGAAAAGAGACCATTTTTGGAGCAGGAATTTTTCGCTGTTTTTCTCTTTGTATCGTCCCGGAGGTGTAGCAAAACTTACAAAGTTTGAATTTTGGAAGTAACGGGATCAATGAAACCATCAAATGAAAAGGTAACATAATGTACCTAAAAATGGACCCATTTACGTTAGTATGAATGAGTTGCGGGGCAGCTGCGGGTTCAGTCCTGGTTTCATCACGAACCAGTGAGGTCTCGTAAGATCATACTGAATGTAGTTTGTACGCTTTTTTTCAATTCAGATGATTGTGTCGTAGAGCGGTGAGATTAAGCCGTTGGCCTTGCGTTAATCCTTCTTTGGCAATTCTAAGGGGACATAAAATAACCCACACTGCTGTTCGAAAAAGCGCGTAGAAATGACTTACACCGCGGTGATTTGGCCTTCCTAGATCCTTTGATATCACCTTGTTCAATAAAAATATCAAGGGATGGGTGCGTGGGTAATAGTCAAATAACAAATGAAATTTTAAGGACAGCCGAAATTACTGAATCTATCTCAATTAAAATATAATGCCAAGCGTACAAGTGAATTTTCGCTCCTTGTCATTTTTTTCTCTTGATGGTAAACTATTTTATCGTTAGCTGGCCTGTTCACAAAGTCTTCAAATGGTCTCAACACCTCAGCTGGTGCATTTTATTCTAACGGGAAACAACTTGGTGTCCAGTTACTGGGCGTGGCTATCACTATCACGTGGTCTCTATTTTGGACGTACCTAATGACTTGGATTATAAGAGTAACTGTGAGTAATTTTTTCTTGACTTTTGAAACTTTGCACAGGCTTTAGCTGCACTTAAGAATAACACGATAACACACATATTATTTTGTCTCCAGTTAATTTTCAACAGTCAGTAAAGAAAGCAAAAAAAATTAGCGCCCCTCATGAACGCGGTATTAAATTGGTTCTTTGGCATAGATGAAAGCCGCTTGCGGTAGCCGTAAGCATGCAGCGATTTAGCAGAGACAACGTGAGGAAAGAGAAGACGGCGCTTGTAGGTCTAAAAAACGAATTGAGCAACGGCATTGTTGCAAGTTGACACACGGCAAAAACTTGTCGCCTTCAGTCCTTTTCGGGCGCTTTTGTGTGCCTATTCTTCATTTTGTATTCTTTGCTAAATCTGCCTCACCGCACGTCTGAAGATCATTTTCTGGTCTAAAACTCATTGTATCCCGTCCCGTCCCGTGGTAAATTTCGTCCCAGAATCGCGCTTATACCACTTGTACAAAACTGTTCCATCTACCGAAAATTAAAACGATTATTCGCTTTTTAGACAGGAGCCAAGCATTGAAGCCACCTATTGCACCAATTCTAGCATTGATTGCTTATTTTTGTGCCGAGAGTCGGCCGGCGTACATTTCTCGTCGCATTGACATAGGGTTGGAGCAACATTTAATAAAAAAGATTCCGATGGAAAGCGCATTGTTACCCATTGCTGTTTTTGTTTTGTTTCAACGTCACCAATGCCCCGTCCCCACGAATCGCCACATGTTTGAAACCGCTTATATTTTTTTTTACCCGGATTCATTCAGACTGGACCTTGAATCACTTTGGAAGGCAGTGTCAAAAAGATGCGGTCTCGGATTCACTGATTTCGTGTGGGCGAAAGGCCGATTCATGTAAAATATGGGCGCTTTCAAAAATATCTGGATTCGTGTGAACGTGGCCCGAGTTTATTTCTCGAGTATGAATGAAATTTAATGGAACGGCCTCGGGGACTACGGGTGGCACCCGATAGGGGCGGTGGCCTCGGGGACTAAGGGTGGATAAAAGAGCATGCGCTATGAGGCCGAAATAGCCAGATTTTGGCTACGCTAGCGCAGAGTTTGCCAGAGCTTCCAGAGCTTACGCGCGGAGTCAGACGCGTAAGCACTAGGGTCGAGAATGTGCTCTCCCCTCTGTCCTCCTTCCCATCACCCTTCGCGTTCCTATGTATCATATCAGCCTGTTTAACACTTGTCATCCTAAGCTGCTTTGTGATTAAATAATGGATCTGGATTTTAAAAAAATTCACTTATCAGCCAAACTGTGATTTTTTTATTTTTTGTCCAGGTAGGCTTTAACAGCTGCGACGCAAACGAAGTTTTAGGGCCGTATGAGCGACCCTTTCGGGATCAGAGCTCAGCGTTGCCTATGTTATGCAAAGAAAAGGAATCGCTTCGTAACAAGCTTTTTAAGGCGATAACTGAAGATGATTTACAAGGGCTTGATGCATTAGTTGACACACAGGTGTGCTTCGGCGTGCAGGACTTTGACAAACGA